AAATGAGGATCAAAACTAAACATAACAGACATGAAAATCATAAATATGGCAGTGAAAAAAGACATAAAATCAAATGGGGAGAACAGAAATGTGTTCAAAATATACAAAATAAAAATACTTGAACCAGTAATAAAAAGGTAAAACAATGAAGCCAAAACTGGGTGAGGACGCACTGATGGGATCGCAGGCTTTGGCAAACTTCATTTACTGATAAACAACTGGCTCTTAATAAATACAACCGAATTACATTATACTTGAGTTTAATGAGTGAAACTGAAATATTAGATCTAAACAACACACAGAGTAGGGCTGGAAAATATGGCTTAAAAACAAAATAAATCTACAATATTTTTAATAGTTTTTCTTGCTTTGTTTTCTAAATTAGAAATAGCAAATGAAAATATTTTCAAAAAGTGTTTTTATTTCAATCATCTCTTCTGTGAGTTTTTTATGACAAAATATTAAAGCCAGGCTACAAGGATTTATGTTTAATTATGAGAATATTGGCATACTATCAGCAGCATAAAGATGCAATTTTACCAGAAAAAAGTCTTAAAATTATGAGAAAAAGTTGTCTTAGTGAGAAAAAAGATTTGATAAAGTTATCAAGATCAACATGACCAACTCAGTAAATCCATGATCATTTCAAAGTCAAAGTATTTCTATTAAATTTAATCTGTAAAACCTAACTTCACAAGATGTATCATTTATTTTTTCCCATGTAGGAGTTCTCATAAAATTACCACTTTATTCTCCTGATATTTATTCAACCTTTCTTGTAATTTTAACCTTATTCTCATATTGTTATGATTTTTGTCGTATTCTTTATTCTCTTAATATTTCAACTGTATCTGGTAAAATTACTACTTCATTTTTATAACAAAAGAAAAAAGAAGAGCCTTAGCCTGGTCCAAATACTCCGTCGTAGAGTTGACCATAATTTAAAGTCCAAATAAACAGAAGCTGAATAACAAATGGTGCATCCAATGAATGTCAAATAAGACAGCGAGCCTTAGGAGTGAATTAGTGAGAAAACGCCCACATTTTCTAAAAATTATATCTTTAAAATGCAAAAATCACTGATTCAGAGTTGCTTCAGCAAAATTACCTGATGCAAATATAATGAACAGCTAATAAAATACTAATTTTGTCATGACTGTGTACCTTTTATCTGCCAAGTCTGTTTTGTTTCCAACAAGCATAATAATTACATCACTTCCCCTCTCTGTCCTCACATCATCAATCCATTTGGAGGTTTGCTGGAAAGAATTAAGATCTGCAAATAAAAACAAAACAAATTTACTGTTCACATTAGCTCCTGCAAATCCAAGTCACAAAACATGTTCTTCTACATATATTTAAACGTAAGCATTGGTTGTTGTTTCACCTCAGGACAAAAGCTAGATTGTTTTTATGCAAGCTGGAAGTCATGTTAATAAGCAAAAATATTTTAAAGAGAAGCTTAAAGATGGAATATAAACACACAGAGAAAAAGTTCTGAAAATATTGCAGAAATTAGAATAGATAAGACACTAAACAGTTTCCTTCTAATTGCTCTCGGCCCCAACAGGAAAGTTATAAGCACAGCCCTGACTCACTGGTGATGTCATAAACAACCACAGCAATGGTAGAGTCACGGATGTAGCTGGGAATTAGGCTACGAAAGCGCTCCTGTCCAGCAGTGTCCCAAAGCTGGAGCCGGACCTGAAGATTGGATCGTCGGGAGAAGAGGACAATAAGAGCAAAGAATAAAGAAAGCCCAGGAAAGAACAACAAGGTGAAGAACGGGACAGATATCAAGAGTCTGCTAGCGAAGCGGCAAAGAAAAACTTTATGAAGCGTGGAATCATTTAGGTGCAGAAAGCTTAGAGATGACGACTGTTATGCATATAAGACATGCGAAAGAAAACCCGGCTGGATTATTCTTTATCTGAGCACATGAAGTGATGCTGATAGATGCTTATTCTATCAGCCAGGTTTAAAACAGCTGTCAGAGGCTTTACTTTATAATCACAGCTGATGCAAACAGTCTTATCATGCTGCCTGAAAATGATTTGTTACTTCAAATGCTGGGATGTTTTGCCCTTCCACGTCATAAGCGAAGGACAATGAAAGAGGCAAGGCCATGATACCTACTGGCTATGTCATAAACCACCACAGCAGCCGCAGAGTCGCGGATGTAACTGGGGATGAGGCTGCGGAAACGTTCTTGTCCGGCTGTATCCCAGAGCTGCAGCCGAATCTGTGGCCAGCCGTGATACAAACGCGGCACCGTGTGTGGGTGAATTTCATGAGCAAGCCAAGGGATGGAAAGGAAACAAAAATGTTTTGAAACGTAACGATGGGAACTAAAATATGTGATCACAAATTTGTATTTTTTTTCACAAATAAAAATGAATAACAAAAATCTCGGACAGTGTAATAACAAAATGTGAAATGATGAAATGGAAATAAATGGTGGCTACTGAACAGAGAGCAGATGCATGCTTTTCTAGGAGTTTAAGAACTCTACCAGTGGGAATGATGAGAGCAGAAAACACAGGGCTTACCGTGCGATCTTCTAGGTACATGGTTTTTGACAAAAAGTCAATACCAATTGTTGCCTGTAAGAGAAGAATGGTGTAAATTAGCTCAATCAACATTTCTCATCCAACATTGTAGACAGGAAAGTGTTATATTTTATTAAAATGTGTCAGCATGAGTACTAGTTTTCTACAACGTAAATATGTTCTCTCTCTCTTTACTACTCAACCAACCGTAAGAATAATCAATATAAGAGTACTAGATTACTAAAATATTCTTTTACAACAGCCCTACTTCATCTTGATGTTCAATTTGAGTTTTTGTATTTGGGTTTAATTTGCCTGCTGTGTGAATATAGACTTAGATTACCATTTTTTACGCAGAAAGTCAGATAATCAGGAAAACATTCAAATTATGCATAGTTTTTCCATTTACCTGGTAAGTGTTGTCGAAACTGTCATACATAAACCTGGTGATGAGTGAGGTCTTCCCAACTGTACAGATAAACACACAATTTAGTGATAGTTGAAAAATACAGACAAAACAACAAAGCTCAAGTCGTGGTGTTAAAATAGAGACCAGACATATATTTTTGTTCCGTCATTATTAAAGAAGACAGGACCTTTTTGAACCTGAAGTTGCTAAATTGGGCTTGGTTTTCTTTCTGACTGAAACCCAGTGATTCTCTCCCAATAAAGCAAAACATGATTGCTAGTTTGTCCTCGCAAAGAGTTAACTCAGCACACCCCCAACACACTGACACCAGTGTTTTGCATAATTTTGCTGTTGCTTAAGTGCAAAGCCACTATAAATGCATGCATTGATGTTGCTTAGAAGCGGCCTCTGTTTTCCACAGCATATCGGGCTTTTCCGGGCTTGTTTTCACAGAGCTGGCTGGTTGTTTTTCTCGCGAGATGTAACAAAATCGGCGACAGCATTTGGTGAGTAAATTCAGGAGTGAACCGCTGAACCCACACGCTGAGTTGGCAATAAGGGTGGAGCCACAAAATTTAGAAAATTTAAATGGCTAAACTTGGGATAAACGGCCCGCAGTACGCCACTCTACAGATAAAGCAATCAAAAATATTTCAAATATTAATATTGCGGTTGAGGTGTCTCCCCCAAAGGACGGAGGATAACCGCCGGGAAAGAGGCCGACTAGTTAGCAACTGGGCGACGTGGCTCTGGCAAAAGCTACCAGCTAATTACTAGTAGCTATGTGGTAATGTGGCCAATACATATACCAAAAAAAAATTACTTGATCTTACTGAATTATAGAGACATTATTGGAAACATTAAGTATTCCTCAAATAGCTGTGAAACTCAAAACTCTGACGGGGGCAGTGAACGTCATTATTAAATAACGTTTCTAGCACAGTTAGCTAAGATACTGCTTCTTACAGTGCTGTGCTAGCTACCATTAAACTGGTGAAATAGTGCACAAGGAATTAACTACATGTTTGATTTAGTTAGACGACAGGGCATTAATTATTTCCCAGTTAATTGACACAGCAAATCTGTTTCCATTATATTTTATTATTATTTTGTCCAACTGTAAGGTGTTTGGCTAGCTTAGCAGGACAACTTAGCTACTCAATGACATCACCAATGTCGAAAAAACAAATGTTTATCATCCTTTTTACCATTTCTACTTGCGAGCATTTTAAAAACGCATTTTCCTACTTATTTAAAAATAACATATCACTGTTACTTTGCGATGCTGATGTGCAACTTTGTCAGCGAGTGACGAGCTAACGCGAAGCTAGCTGGTGAGCTAATCTTGACACTTTTTTCTACCTTTCCTTAAATCTGACATTAACAGTTAATTAAAGAGTCTCGCTTACCACTCTGTTCACCCAGAAAGACCAACTTAAATTTCCGCAGAGGGTTGCCAAACTCTCCGCCACCGGTAGTGGTTGACATTTTGTTAAAAAAAAATATATAGAGCTGAAGTAGCAGAGTCGGCTAGTGATGTGATGTCTAGACTGGGGACCAAACCGAGGATCTTTATCCTGCACTAACCGAAGCTTTTGTTTTCTTAAACTCAGAACAGTGAAACAGCGCCACCAAGTGGCAACCGGGGAGACAGCAAAATGGTAACATTCAGAATATATATATATATTTTTAACATATTTTAAATATTAACTAAGTTTAAAATGTTAAATATGTGCTTTAGTTAGTTAGTAAGTCGTGGATCTTACAAAAAGAGATTTTGATATATGTAGAAATACTTGTTTTTCCAGATGCATAATTATTCTAAGTATACCACCAATTTTTAATTTCCATAAATTAAGAGTTTTTTTTAATACAATTTAAATCAAATAACACCAGATTAAAATAAAATGGAACAGTTTTTTTGAGTATATTTGTTTATTGTAAACATAACACATTTATCTCACACCTGCAAGTTTATTCTTTGCTCTAATGACAGAAAAATCCACATTAATAACAAATTAAGGTCTACATTTTTCTTTCAGAGAGTCTGTAGACTCTATACTAAGGGACAATTAACAATTTTCCAGGTAGATATATTGACATTCAGAAAAAAGTTACACATACTTTTTCCAGAATTGAATGTACATGTAATTTACAGTAAAAAATTATATGTACATGGAAAATAGGAACATTGCTTTGCTTGCATGAAACAGTGCTGTCTGTGTTCTTCATTGGTGAGGAGTTCCTTGGTTTTCCCTGTTGATTTTTCTTTTTTTTTATGCTTCCACGGCATCAACTGCGACATCCGTTCTGTAAATAAAGTGGATACCAAATTTATATGTAGAATATGTGCAAAAATATTTACAAAAAAAAACAAAACAAACAACAACAAAACTTTTGGTATTTTCACAATAAAATGCATGTTTCTTTTCCATTACTATGGTGTTTTTTAATGCATTTAGTTTTAGGGGTACTTTCTTTAAGTATGCAAATTTGCTTTCAAACATGTAATTGCATCATAGATGTTTTTTATTCATAATTTGGGGTTGAAATGAGACTTACATTTCTGCTCGATGAACCACAACAACATGCAGTAAATGGGACAAAAAGTGGAGAATGATCAGGTTAGTTGTCACTAAACATTTAATTTTCTAGTTCATGTAAAAAATTCACTAACCTGCAGGTTTTGGGGACATCAGAGTTAAAGGAAGTTCCACAACAACATCACTGAAATTGGAGCGCTTTGTTAGAAAAATACTGAAATGTGAATTATTAGAAGACAATAAATGAGGGAAACTATTTACCTTCCAGTCAGGCCGCCGAGCAATCTTTTTAAGAGAGAAAGAATGAAGGAGAGAGAGCAACAAAGAAACGGTTATGGTTTAACTTTTTTTTTCAAAGCATAAAACCATATTTGTTCCTATTCAGTGCTCAGAGATGCCTTACCCTCCTCCAGACGCTGTTACGGTAACTTTGACTTTGTAGTGGATGATGATTCCCTGCATCTCCTTGTCCCCTTGGCTCCTGCCAGGAGACAGGAATAGTTTACCTTTTTAGAGCTTGAGGATTTATGTTAAGTGGATGACACAGTGTATATCTGCATCAGTGCCACTCATTAAGAGGATGAAAACCTGTCCTAGACACACACTAAGCTCCTTGGTTCAGTGAGAAAGTAGATTTGTCTTACAGCGTTGTGGATGCAAGGTTGGTGTCCTCATCTTTCAGCTTCCCATCGACGGCAAGCCCTCGTTTTTCCTTATTGTTCGACAGCAGGGGGGTAATTTGATAGGCCTTCTCAAATGTAGAGTTTGCAGTTATGTTCTCTCTGTAAGAGAAAGAGGAAATAAATCAGTTGCATTGCAAATGGAACTTTTTTGGTAAATATAACATGGAAAATCCAAATTATTTCATCTATCACAGCATGTCACATATAGTAAATAACATAGAAGTGAATGTAATTAGCTTGGCTATTCTAAACAAATACATCTTTCCAATTGACATAATAAACCACATTTGATTGTTCAAGAATTTAAAAATGTCTATATTGCTGGATTATATTGGATTTGAACATATTTCTGCTTGTCTTACAAAGTACCCTAGGCAACACTGTAGGTAATCTGCTCTATATAAATACATTGAACTGAACAATAGTATTTATTGATTTGCTTATATTTTTATATGTTTGAACATGGGTTAAAATCTTACCCAAACTCCTCAGAGCAGACCTCCTTGGTGTAGGTGTCAGATGAGTAGAGGACAACGCTTGTTAGCTGATCCACTAAAAACAAACATTTTCACTGTCATTTATTTACTTCTTTTAATTTCTTCATCCTGCACCAGTTACAAATATCAGCTTTGTGGTGTTTCTCACCTGCGACTTTGATTTTTTTGACAGTCTTTGGGGTTTCGTTGTTGATTTTCACAGTGACAGTGATTGCGTCTCCATGGTAGTAAATCTTAAACACAACAATGGTGTTTTCTTAGAATTATTTACTCCAGAATTCTAAACATCTTAGCATAAAAATGTAAGTGTACCTCTTTTTCAAGAGAGGCCTCAATATGAATTGGTTTGTCGCTCATCATAAACTGTTTGGAGAGCTCGACCTTCGGTCCGGCTTTGTTCGTCGGCGCGAACTGTATTTTGCGAATCATCAAGCGGCAGGTATCCCTGAGGGAAGGGCAGGTGCATTAAATGGCAAGCATGGACCAATGCATGTGTTCTGTTGCACTTCTGGATGAAATGATAGAATCACCAGACAGAAAACTCACTTTTTGTCAATGACTTCATCTGCATTGCTAGCTTCTTTGGCAATGTATGCTTTGACCTCAAAATCCACTCCACAAGCCTGTGACAGAAACTAGTCAGTTTAAATCATAAGCAGAAGAATTGCCTGGGTAAGTAATACATTTAAAATATTACAAGAGAAAACTGGTTATAGTACCTTGCCATTATCGTTCGGCCCTGGATGTAAAGAGACTGAGCATGGAAGATTTGTTGGCATCTGAAAAATGCAGGGATTGTTGCAGATCAGATTCTGAACACTGAAAATAATGAAAAGATATAAAATTTTGCATAGTAAATTTTACTACCTGGAAAGAGAAAGGACATCCTTGCTCTCCAACTTTTTTCAGGAGGGATTCCTGCATTGGCGTCTTTGTCGGGTTTCCATCGGCAGCCGGATACACCTGGACCTTCTTCATCCAGATGTCTCTCCTGAAGGAGAGTCCGATAACATCCAGGTCGTCACTTCCATAGCGGAAGGCACAGGCGAGGTAGACAAATACTGCAATGGAAAATGAAGATCAGTCCATCTTCATTAAATGCATTGATTATAAACCGCATTTGCATTGTTTGAGGTCTGAAAGCATTGCTGCATCTTCTTCATTATTTTGACCATTTCTCATTTTCTGCAAATAAATACTGAATTTTTGCTTAAAATTTCAGAGACATGTTGTCAGTAGTTCATAAAATAAAAGAACAATGTTCATTTTCCTCAAACATATACCTATAAAAAGTAAAATTGGAGAAACTGATCATTTTAAGTGGTCTCTTGATCTTTTTTCCATGGGTGTGTATTATATGTGACAAATTTACTAGGTAAGGTAGCTTGTAATTAGGCTGAAGATATTCTATACATATATAGATAAATATATATAATTATATCTAATTTTCCCAGGCACCATATCTTGGTGTATTATATTTAAACATCACTTGGCTTTATTCTATTCTATTCTATTCTATTCTATTCTATTCTATTCTATTCTAAGATTACCTTTTCTTCCATCTAAACCAGAGGGGTCCACCTTAACAATCCCATCTGCAAAAAGAAAAATTATTTTCATTTCATTTCAAAAAAATGTGTTGATGTACATAAGCCCAAAATCCTGGCAGATTTAGGTGTAAAATAATGTTTAATTTTACAAACATTTCTCTTCTGAATGGAGGTAATATTAAAGACTGTGATTGGCCCAGTCAGAGTCCATGAAAAACTGAGAAAGAAGCAAAAGATGAGGGTGATGGCAGTGAGGCTTTCCAACCCCAACGAGTTGGAGGTCATTGGTGAAAGCTAAAAAATCTACATACCAGTAGAAACATGCAAAAAGTTGGTCAGAAATTATAAGAGCAGAATGACTGGTGTAATGCTCATAAAGATTTTTTCCACTGATTGTTGAGGAGGATTTATATTGGCTTCATGCTGCGATTTTCAAAACTAACACGACTTTAACTTGTTTTATTGTCTTTTAAGCGACGTATGTCTCATTCACTACCCGAAACAAACTTCTTGACAGATTGAGAATAATTTTATATCTGATTTTCCCAGGCATATGAGTTTAACTGCAGAGTGTATATTTCATTAGCCACAAAACACACCAACTACGTCGACACGATCCACATGGTCCACAAAGTCTCTCTTCCCCAAGTATAAGGCGATCTAGGAGAAACAAATAAAAACAGTCAGTTCTCTGCCAATATTCCTAAATATTGAAAATTTTAACTGTGGGAGGTGGAAAAACAAGATAAAAACGATGTTATTATTAGCCCCAAAGTGGCCTCGTTATTTTTAAAACCACTTACGGTTCCATTCCCGCTGGTCTTCTTAAACACTCTGAAAGGAAAAACAAAAGGAAAAAACATTGAATCAAACTAATTCTGTAAGCTTTAATCATGATTAGGCTTGTTTAAATATTTAAGAAAAAGGGTCTAACTGTCCAAACCCACACAAGTTATGCTGTTTTTATTTAAACGACTTTGCAAGTTGGTAGTCTGTTGCATTATAATTTTGAAATGCTTAATTCTGACTTTCTTCTGACTATTGTGTTATATCTCACATGAGGCAATAAAAAATGAAACAATTACAAATCCCTGAAGTTTGATATCACTTTGCGGTCCTACCCTAAAACTTTTCTGCATTAAAATTGATCTCTGTGCGTATGCTGTAAACAACAACGTAATCCTTAAGTTGGGTTTGCCACTTTCTTGTATTTGCCAAGTAATCCAGTTTAATCCCTCCATTTGTCTCGTAAATCTCTCTTCCAAGATTAAATCTACGTAATCCACCTTAATAAGGGTTTATCTATATCCCGGACAAATGATTACAAAATTGTAAAATAACGAAAGTGTTGCAAGAGCGAATTAGATGTCAGTATGTTGCAGTTAAGCCAATTATCGAGGTTCTTGTATATTTAATCCTGCATTAGCTGCTTTTTCTGACTTTGAGTGAACAACAAAACAACAGAATATAATCTAGTTTCAACTTCTGCTTAAAAATAGAACAAAAACAATTCAATCATTTTGTTTTTGTTTAAAAAATACACCCAACTAATTTTTAACTGTCACTTGAGCACATAAATATTAACAAACGATTTTTCTCGAAAGCTTTGTGTTTATATCTAAAGTACATATCTGCATTTCAGAGCTTTTGTGTAATTTTCAGCAGATTAATAAATAACTGACTTACTTTGACATGACTGCACCAGATATAGATCCTTTCTGCAAAGAATAAAGATACAGCAGTTTGGTTATAAAGATGTGTGACAAAAGATCTTGAAGGAGCAACAGAAATTTGAGGACATTTGTGGTTCAGTAAAAAAATCTTGAGCTTTTATTAGTCATTACATCCTCTAAAACGTCACTGCAGAGTCACTTTCCTTTTAAGTTGTACAATTCAGTCATATAAAATAACCCTGAAAGCTTCACTTCAGCTTTCCGTGACCTTAAATATTGTCTTGTCTTGTAAAGATCTTCAGGTATTCTCTTCTCATAACATAAAATACATTTGGACTTCTTTGTGTCTCAGTCTTTGTCTTGAAAGTTGCAGAAGTTGACTCACCGTGTCTTTGGCTCCACCAGCAGCTCTTCTCTGCTTCCTTCTCTAATCCGTCACAGTTGATGGAGTGCGATTGCCAATCACTGCCGTGCGCTTTGCTTTTATACAGTGACCCCCGCCAACCTTGGAACCCTCTCTTCAGCTTACCCAGCGGTTGTTTTGGAGCAAATCTGATTAATTTGTTACAACACTACTGTTTTAGTCTGCTGCAGAGTTAAAAATAATCATTGTGTGTGCAAGTCAAAGAGAATAGGCTCAGGGCCTGAGCCTATTCTCAGCCTCTTTGGTAGAAAGAGGTCATTTTCTACTGTAAAAGTAGTTCAAAAATATTTTTAGATTATTTGTTTTTAAACTATATATACTTTCTATCGACTCTGAAATGGTTAAATATGCTAATAGATAAACAAATGGGCATGCCAAAGTCATTTAAGCTTTTTAATAATGACTGCTAAAGTGGTAACCATCCAGAGGATGAATTTTATTTGGTCGAACAAGAATCAATCAATCAATCAACTGAATTTGTATGGCACATTTTGGCAACAAGGAGGTTCAAGGTGCTTTACATAATAAAAACACAAAATTACAAAGTAATAAAAAAAAAACATGCAGTCAGAAAAGAAGAGGAATGTGGAAGGTGCATACTGCAGAATTTATTTCCAATATTTTCTGAAAGAGTTTTTTACATGAGTAATTTGGCTTGCGCTTCAGATTCTTATTTTACTAATTCACTTTTAAATCCAATGCCTTATGTACGAGAATCTTAAATCATGTTCAACATTTTGATGCAAATACCTTCAACCCATTTCCAAGGCAAAAAAAATCAAGAGATTATTTTCAGAAATGCCTTTCAAGACGTTTAAACCTGAGTGTGGACTGAGATAAAAGACATCCCTGTGAATGGGTTCCAAGGATTTCTCTTCCTCATAGCTTAGACAGAGTGGTATTAGTTGGATTTGAGTTGTTGTGGAAGGCAGGACAACAGATGGCTCTTCTCTCCAGCTCGATGCAATCTGGGCAAATGGACGGTTTACAGAAATGACCTCCTGACTTAATGCCGTGCCATAAGTCATAAGGATTTACAGATAACAATAGTGGTTCTACAAAATCTTTAACATACGGTTATGAAGAAGGTTAGCTAATTCACAACATCCTGTGAAAATGATTTTTGGTCTTTGGCAACCAATGCAAAAAATGAGAAAGGATAAAGGAAGAGTTTTGGAGTTACATCATAAAAAGGTTACAACAAGAGACAAATACATGATGTCCTCTTATTAGTTTGGTACCTTAAGTTACCTTGATAACTTTCATCTTTATTTGAATTAAAGAGACGTGTTAGTTTGATTAGGAAGTGCACTTTTTTATTTTATTGAGATAACTTTTAATAATAAATAAAAGTGAACAAGATGGCCTTTTGTCGTGTAAGGTCAAGCAGGGCACAACATAGGTGATGACGCAAATATTTTAATCCACGAATCCGCCTGTCTACCAGCAGTTTGTTTGTACAGACTTACAGATGGACGACACAGAAACAGACTGAGGCAATTAGGAAGAATTTCTTAACTAATAATAGATAAATTTCCACTGAGAATTCAGAATGATATACACAACTATTGCCATATTTTTTTTAGCAAATAGTAAAATTGATACTCAGTTCAAATTGTTTTTGAAATCTTGAGAAAGATTCAGCTTTAAATGGTTAAGTGTAAATAATTTTGTATCAAAATCTCTCATTGGTTTCAATCAGTTTGAGCATTACTGTTAGATTTTTTTGGAACCAGATGACCAGATATTGTTTTAATTTTTTATTTGACTTGCTTTTTATTTCAGCAAAATCTTCCTCAGTAGAAAATAGAAAGGAAAAGGACATAAACAGCCTTTATTGTGCTGCAAAGGGAACAATTCAGATATGACAGCAGCAACAGATATAAAGGTTCACACAAAAAGTTTTTAAAGTGACAGTGTTATGTAAAATGAACATTTTTGAAAATTGTATCATGTTGTGATGTTATTCCCTCATCACAAACATACCTGGATGGATGTTTGAATTCTTTCGTGCATGTTTGAGAAATCCTTTATTCACCATGCCAACCATTCAGCTGTGCAAAACGCCTGGGTGGACCTAGCCCCGCCTCCAAAACAAAACTCCTCCTCGGAGCTGCAGTTTCCAAGCCCTTCTCCACTCAGCTCCTTCAGACTAGCCAGCAGCAGTTAGCAAATACCTGGTGGAACTGCTGAGCTCATCACAGAAGCTACTTCTCAGTAAAACACTAGTAAAAATAGAGGTGTTAATAGAGGTGCGATGTTGTGATGACTGTCTGAAAGTGGAGTGTCAGAGAGAACAGAAGTTTTTAAGGAGACAGAGGACCAAAGTGAAGTAAAATTGACATATATCATGCTTGATATATGTAGCATTTTATGTGCCTGAGAAATACATAATACTGCCCCTTTAAAGACTTAAACGCAATACATAAAAAAGAGTAACAGTAATGATAATATGCTGTATAAGACTACGACAAAAAGATACTGTGAAGTTATTAGAAATAGATTAATTGGACTCATAATCCAATATGGAATTGAGTTGGATCGCTTTTTAGAATTGTACTTAATGAGCATGTGTGTTGAACCTGAGTCTTTCATGATATGACAAAAGCTGCCTGAATGTGACTGGCTGCTTGGTTTTGCGACGTCGACACGGGTTTAACCCAGCTTTAAGTTGGGTTAAACCAAAGCACCCACATTTATCTCCATTGATCTTCAGAAGCTGAACTCTCTCAACTGTCAACAAATCCATGGGGGGATTGATGGAGGATCCTTGAGTTTTCTTAGCCAAGAGTAATTGATTGATTAATGAGGGGTGGTGGATGATTGGTATTTTGAATGGATTGTCTCACCTTGCCAGCAGGGGATAATGAATCAGATTGGTTTATGTTTACACTGTCCTCACTGTAAAGTGTCATATGGGGTCAGGGTTTGAGATCTCTTTAAAGCTCCCCAGACCAGGCAGCACCGACGTGAACGGCATCACCGGATCATCAATCGCAGAATCATCTTCACCATCAGATTTAGGTTCTCCAGATCAGTCAATGTTTGTGTAAAACCTGCAGGTGGGATGCAGATTTTTGTAGTCATGAACAATGAGAAGCAAATTTAGTAAACTACTCAGTTTCCAGAATCAATGATGTTAAAGATTTAATTAGATTTTCTCTTTATACAAGTAAGAAAAAGATCTGCAGCTGCCTTTTGCATAGCTGTTCATTCCCTTTATACACAAGTGGCAATGTCAGACTCCAGCCTTTCAGGTATTTAAGTCGATTTTGTTTGAATGGCACAAAACTGAATCCCATTTGCACTTTTTTGCAAAAGCACACATTTTCCACCAAATGCTATGTGTCATATTTTTGTGGGAGTGCAATATAGAACAGAACAAAATCACTATAGAGTCTGTGAAACTGAAGGTTTTTTTCAGAAAATGTTGAGCTTGGATTTCCCTTTCTACTGGAACAATTAGATATTTGCAAATTGACTTAGTTTATACATCGTATCATGTTACAAACACGTTTTTTATTTATTTATTTGATAAGAAACTGGTGCGGTAGACCAACTCAAAGTTGTGCCAAATTGTGAAGTTGAAGAAAAATTATGGCGTTTAAAGAAATTCAGAAATAAGTCTTAAAAATGATCCGCATGTACCTTAAAACTTCTTTACTCTGAACCCTCTAAATAGCAAATATTACAAATAATTGCCTTCAGATGTAACCTAATTTGTCATTTAGCCCTCTTGTGTTTAGTATAATCTTACAAACAATTCATTCTTTGCATGAATAGAAATGTTCTGCTAAAGCATCAGAGATTGAATAGTTTGCATTACACTTGAAACCATTACTTATGAACCATTTTTAAAAAGACCTTTGAATGTCACTTAGTCACATTTGTGGAAGTAGATGGTAATAATTTAATAAACTATGGAGAGAAGGTGTTAGTTTATTTCACAATAACTCATTGTTAGAAAATGATGCAATTTAGTGGGAGTGCAGATTTGTTAAATATCACTGGCCTCTTAATGTCCAGATGGGCTTTATATAATAGTCAGTTCAGAAAAACAAAGAAATTAAAAAGATAATAATAATAATGAACAAAACTTTCATATCCATTTCAAAAGGAAGAAGACAAGTCTGATTTAATCCTTCCCACAATTGTCTCATCCCACATTATCCATATTTACACATCTAATTTTTACAGTTTCTAATCTTCCCAAATTATTGGAGTACAATTAATTTATGTTATTCTCTTAACTTTAAAGAGAATATCTTTAAAACATGCTGTTTATGTTCTAAAAACATGATAATATCCCTTCAAAAAGAGAAAAATCAAAAGACAAATGAGCAAAAATGACCTATAATTTGCGGCATTTTGTCACTCAAATGTTGCTTTTGTCTGGGACTTTAATCCTGTGGTTATAAGTAGGACTTTTTGTGAGTTGAGTTTCCATTACAAAGATGTTGTGTGCCAATTTTTTTTATCAGCCTGGAACAACTACCCAAACAAAAGAGCCTTGAATAATGCTGTGGCCTGGTCTCCTTATGGTGAACTCCCTATTTTGCCCGTTTCATCTCTGCAGGCCAATGCGGAGTCATGTAAGCCCCTTACAGCTAAGCTGCTGCCATTTTAGGCAGGCGATTTGTATAGACAGCCAGAATTGTCTCAGTGAATTAGAGCTCCATTGTATTACAGCCTCTTAACAACACAGCCTCTAGATTGTGGCTAAATCGAGACAGAGAAGCAATATCCTCTATTTAAGGGAACCGGCGAGTCCTGATATGTTGATGTGTAGTATAAGACTTCTGAAAATGACAACAGGGCCGAGTTTAGTTATTAACTCAAACTTGAACTCTGATGAATTTCAAGGCAACCATGTGCTTGTTTAGTGTTTTGCCGTCTGTATTCTGCTCCTCCTGTTTGACCTTTACTGAGTTGTGTTTTTAGCTGGGTTTCCACAAACCGATTCAAGCCACATGAGGCTGCAACATTTGGGTCAACAACCTCAAATGTTAACTTTAATGAAGAATGTTTCTTAGTCATTATTGTACAAAGTCTTACTAAGTAATTTTGATCTAGTTTCTCATGCAACCATGTTAGTTGCCTTGAAATAAAACAAAACTAACTTACAAACAAGACATAGGAGCTAGTTTTAAGTCAATAACTCCTCTATATTAATGAAAAAGTACTTATTCTATTAGTAGGTTATTGCACTTGTAACTAGATGTGTTTCTTATGTTATAAGTAAAATAATTTGCCTATGGAACAAGTGCCTTTGTATCAATATTAAGTAATTATTGACTTAAGACAAGCTCCTATATCTTGCTGAGAAGCCACTTGTATGTTAATTTTATCTTATTTCAAGCACACTAAGATACTTGCACTAGAAACTAAACCAAAATTACTTGATGAGATTTTGTGGTTTTGCAGCACAATACTAAATTGAGATGCAAAATGATCTAATATGAATTTTTTTTGGTGTAAATGTGTATAAGGTTATTTGTGCTGGCGTCTCAGTGTTTTCCTGTTCTGGACTGGCGACCAGGACACATCACACCGTCACTAAAGTCCTTTTACTGGATCCTTGAAGCTGAGGAAATGAATGTTAAAATAATTTTGTTTGTTCAGAAATCAGAGAATAACTTACTTCAAAATACATTAAAGATCTGTTTTTATTTAAACTTTTCAGACAGGTCGTCTGGTGCTGGTATAGTTTGCATTTCCGGAACCAGAACCAAACTAGTAGAAGCAACATTCAGCTTCTTTGCACCACAAATCTGGAACAAACTTCCAAAAAACTGCAAAACAGTTAAAACCCATTTGTTTAGAGTTACATTTGGTTAATTGATCTATTTGATGTATTGATGATTTTGATGAAGGCAATTGGCAAAATGTAATGTTTATTTTACAATTGGTGATTATAATGTAAAAAAAAAAAAAATTAAAAGCCATATTTACACAGACTTTGCCATATAAATACAATAAAAATTTCCTGTAAATTTCTCCTATACAACAAACATCTGAGAACGGCAACTACTGGCATTTTACTGCAAATTGGACACATTTATATTACAGAGTATGCTTTTTTTCATGATGTAAAACATTTTTAATCGTTTTTAGGGGTTCTATACAAATAAACTTGACTTGACCCAGTAAGCTAATGACTGCTGGAGATAAACTACAAACTATTTTTGGTTAATTTATTCTATAAATTGTTGCGTTCCTTTATGAAAAAAGTTAAAGGTTTTATGATTGTGTCTGCAAGGTGATGTCTGTTTGTCTGGCATTTTCGGTCATGCCCAAATGTGTAAAAAGCTAATTTCCACCACAACCGTCTCTTTGAAACAACTGATCCTAAAATGAGGGGTAAGAAGATGCGTCAGATTGGGATGGACTTGTTTCTGTTTGTTCTCTGGAGTCTGTGGTTGGTGGTCGGTGAATTTCTGCTGAGTAGTGCAAGACAGAGCAGCAAATGTGAGCTCAAATAGCTTCCAACACGGTTTTCTGCTCCTGCTAATGGAGTGGGAGGGACGTAGGAGGAGTGAATAATGGGCAATGCATGAGGAGGGCCAAAATAAGAAAGCAAGGGATGATCATAACCATATGGAGAGGGTGTTTGCTGAGAGGGAAAGACTGAGCAACAGCAGAAAGAAAAGGAGGGAGACACAAAGAAAAAGATTGAATTTTAAGAAAGACAATGTGTTGTCAGAGGATAAAGACGTTTATAAGCTAAGGCTCAACCAGATGTGAGAGGACTTGATTGAGGAAAGCAGTGTTTTGCTTTGGAAACAATAGTAAAGAGTCAGGAAGAAAACAGACAGGAGGCAGAAGAAGGAAGTAGTTTGCTGTTTCACGCGCTGATGGTGTAGCTGAGCCCCTCACAAGAATGCTCCTGGCTCTGCCTGCCATCTGGAATGTCGAGTCACTTCCTCTGTCTGTCCTGCGCTTTAACAGGGTTGTCCTCTGTGTCTCTGCTCCCACCCTCTGCTCTGACAGCAGTCTGAAGAAGACCACACCACTTCGGAAAGGACTATCCTTGTAGCAGCTCACACACATTAACTCTGAAAGTCAGACCCCTGCACCAGCCCACATCCTTCCAGACTCACTCTTAATGGAACCAGGACTTGTGGGGGGGAAACAGAGAAGACTGCAGCCATCAACTGAACGTATAGTGAGGGAGTTTCTTTTCCTTATATGGCAGCAAAGCTGGGAAGTCATTTGAATTAGTCTGGTTTCTGTCTAGTTTTAATGCTGACTGAGTTCCATCTGGTGCTTATGTGTGTGGGTGGCGTGTGTGCAGCTTAATTTGTTTGTTTTGCCATTCTTGGTTCCTCTTTTCCAATTGTTTGCATGCAGGCTTTTGTTTTGGCATAAGAAGGAGGGCTTGTGTTTGTGGTTTAGCTCAAGGCAACGTCATCGCTTCAGGAGTGGCTGCTTCATTCAGACTTCTTCTCTTCCTTGCTCCACCGTGATAGTCTGTGTTTGTTGGATCAACACACGACGCATACACACAACTGGGTGGAGCAGCTCACAACTTAAATCAGCAACTGGGGCTCCATAGAGAAGGATACTACCAGGATGGAGGACTGCAGCTTTCGCTGAGAAGTGGAGGGCGTGTTGGAGTGGAATAACCTGGAGATAACATTTTTTCACATCTGCTTCCTTCAGACCAACAGGATGGGTGACCCAGAAGCAACCAGAAAGGACCCAGGAAGTGCTAGAATCATGGGGAGGCTTTAAATACTCAAGCAGACCACAGCGGTTTTCTGATGCTGCTGACTTGCAAGAGAGACCTCTGGTGCGAAGAAATCTCTGCAAGTGTAAAGCAGCTGGAAATGCAACCTCTGCTGCGTTCATAACCTCATGTGGATTATTCTCCTGAGCATTTCTCTCCTCATCGATTGCCATGGCTTCAGCATCATGGTACCATCGTGACATCAGCCGTGTGAGAGCGGAGGACTTGCTGGCGCGGGCGGGGAGGGATGGCAGCTACCTGGTGAGAGACAGTGAGTCAGTGCCTGGAGCCTATGCATTGTGCCTGCTGTGAGTATAAACACACATTACCGGGTCCAACACACAGCATGTTCAAAACTGTTATGGTAAACTCATATGTCTATGGACAGTCATGTCTAATGTCTAATCTTGTAAAATATAAAACTTCACTCTATGTAGTTTATGTGGAAATGTGTCTATTTGTACATTTAATGTGGCATGTCCATTATCATTTGCCACCTGGCTCCAAGGAAGTCATCAAGTCAGAAGGTTCTGTCCAGAGCCATTAACTTCAGCAAATCAAACCCAAACGCATGACTACTTGTTTCCCCTATTTAACCCCCCTTTTCAATTCTTGGGCCCCTAAAAGTGGGCTGGAGCTCCGGCAACCACACTACGCTGCCTGCTCATCGGGCTGAAGCCAGAAACATTCCTGAGAGCTGAGCCTGGCTGCTTCCAGCGCAGCCTCTTTCCTTTCATTCTTTTCTTGGTATATCATCCTCTCTTCTAATGTCCTCCACATAATTTACATTTGTCAACCTTTATTCTTATGTTCAGAACAAATTTGATATTAGAGTAACTTGAGTAAAGACAAAAATGCAGATTTTAACTGGTGATTTCATTTATTTTGACTAAAAGCTTGCATACCAACCTGCATCCTGAATCATGATTCATTTCAAGCATTGTTTTTGTAAATTTAACTTTAATTTCACAAACCTGCTAACCAGCAAATCACTTAAATAGAACCCAGCTGATGAAGCAGGCAACAAAATCTCAAGAAGTAACACCGCAAGTGCGAAATTAAGTCAATACAGATGAGAAACGACGTCACGAATCAGTCTGGATCGAGCTACTGAGCCTTTTCTAAGAAAATGAGACATTTTTCAACAAGTGGAGAAAACAGAGGACAGGTGTGAGTCTTTAAATTACATCAAAGAATCATCCACAAGATAAAAAAAACAAAACAGAGTAACATTTAAAACAGTTTTCTTAGTCAGAGATTTTGATTTAATAAAAAAAGCCTCTATTGGAGAATTCCTAGGTGAAATTATTTCTTATTAAAACAATAATCTTATACACTTGACTGATTCCCGAGGCATTAGGGATAACAAGTGTGTTCATGTCTGTCTTTAAGCAAAAACAGCATTTTAGTCAAAGAACATCAGACTGACGGTCAAACTCGGCGGTGGTGGTGTGATGGTCTGGGCTGTTTAAGCACCTGGATGAATTTCTATAAGTCCTGCTTTGCAGTTGGTAACTTGAAACTCATGAACGTTTGAGTTTTGCAGCAGGACACACAGAAATTATGCAAATTGGCCTCATCAATGCTTGGAAAATTATAAATTAAACATGTTTTAAAACAGATAAAAATGTAAAAAGGTGAATGTTTAATTGTAATCAGCCCTCCTGAGTCGCAGTTTTTTTAAAACCATGTTTGAAGCAGGTCCAGTTGCAGTTGTGTTGTGTTACTTCACCCCCATTTTATTTGGGGGGAGAAGCGAAGTAGCTCAAGCTCGTTCAGGATTTTCTTTTACAGTTTTCCATGCTCCACTAATCTGAAACAAACTTTCAGAAAACTGCAAAACTGCCAAAACACAGTTTCTTTAAATCAAGGCTGAAAATCCGCTTGCTTCAAGCTGCTTTAGATTCATAATAACTGGTAATTTCAGTCATTTCCAAAACATTGTATCGTTGTTATGATCGAATGGTTGCTCAGTCTCTGTCTAACATTTAGGAAGTCTGAACTAGTTGATTCAGACTTTTAATTTTGTTTGTGTCTTAAGGAATACAATTATGTCTTTTTTATAATGTTTGTAAGGAATTTTTATTTTATTCTTTATCCCTCGAGGACGAGGGATCTTTAAATAAACAAATTTACTTTTTAGCATTTGAGTATTTCCTCAGACAGCTACTTTTTACTTTTATTTGAGTAAAAATATATTGAAGCAATGGTACTTTTAGCTGAGAATTTTTTTTTGGTGACAGAAAAGTTTAGTTTTTAGACATATTTTAAAGCACATAAAATTTGTTTAAACTTCTCTATAACTTCCTCCCTGACCTGCTGTGTTCCTTGATCTTCAACAGGATGTGGAAGATAAATGGTGTTAAGTAATGCTCTCTAATAAACACCTGAGGCTTTATCAGAACAGTGTTAAATTACGTACTGGTTGCACTGGACTTTTATTTAAGGTAATGATGGAAAAGATGTTCTTCCAATTGATAATCAGGTGCTGCTTTGTGTTAGTTAGTCACATAAGGTCGAGGTTTGTGGTTGTACAACAACAAAATCTGAAAAGGTCACTGTACTGCCTAATGAATGCCAATCTCATTTTTCCTTTGAGTGTTTGTTTTTTGTTGAAATCACTGATTTTTGTCTTCCAAACAGGTTTCAACGTCATGTCCACACGTATCGCATTCTTCCTGACCCGGATGGTCTTCTGGCAGTTCAGGTAAAAATATCACTGCCTTGCTAAAAATAGAGCTTTCACAAACAAACAGACACCGGTAAAAAGGAAAACTACAAAATATGCCTGAAGCCTTGACAGAGCTTAAACAGCTAGACAGAAACCTCTCTGGGCAGATGGAGTTAGAAAACATCAAACAATGGTTTGTTATTCCACGTTGCACCGAGAACAGGAACCTGTTTGTGTTTCTCCTCTCTGCAGACTCTGCAGCCACTTTGTTGTTTGAATGGCATCCCTGCCATGTGGCTGCATGTTTGCAGCACAGAGGAGAAATTGTTGTCATGTCTCGGAGAATCCTACTCACTCACTAATTCAATGGGTGTGTTTGTTTGTTGCACACATCTACAGAGGAGTTTGCATTGAATCGTAAGGGATGTAAAGCTGTTTGAGACAGAGATGTGTTTTCATGAAGGTGTGGACTTGTTTATTGAAGTCTAATGCATGCAACAGCAGCACATAAAGTGAGCTTATATACATGTATTTATTTTTTTCTTTCACGGTGTTTTAAAGAGCAGTTTAATGCTAATTATCTGGCAGTAGCTTTTAAGGCTTTGACTTGGAAAACGCCTCCGTTTTCCAATGAGGACATTTAGCTCTGTTGCTATTTCAGTTGTTTTTTCCACTGCCATCAGTACAAACCTCCAGTATGTGTTTTCCCCCAGACTGGATTTGCTCCACTAACTCACAAGTCGCATGCTCGCCCTTTTTTGTTTTTCCAAGAAGGCCGAGGAGATATTTTTGGGGCGCTGCCTCGTATGCTATTCATTTCTTTTAAATGACTTTTCAAGAGATATTTGTGGTTAAAACAAAATACTATTTAAAGGGTTTTTGGCAGAACGATCAAGCAGCCAAAGCCAAAAAACTGGTTTCTCTCACCACAAAATGAAAGTGAAAAAAATATAAAAAGAAGGCACAGGAAGGAGCTGTTCGCTCTGCAGTTGTGGTAATGTACCATGCTAAGCTGGGCCATGTGAATAGTAGCAGTGTGAGCATGTAAGCTTATTTTCTGTCTCCTTTAATGTATCAAGTTTGATTAAAGGGACGTTTGGTTGGCGTGAGAACATTCAATATGTGAATAAAAAGCAAAAATGTTTCTCAGAGTCATTTTTTTAACATGCTCAAAGAGCAACCAATGATGTCACCGCTTATCATCCCTTATGATCTGTGTGTGTGTGTGTGTGGAGGGGTGCGTGTGTGTGTGTGTGTGTGTGTCCTGTCATACAAATACATATGCTCTATTAAAAGAGAGACTGTCAAACATCTGTGAAAATAGATCTGTTTTTAAAAAAGTTATAAAGCTTATAAATGTTTCTGCTCATACTTTTGGTAGCAGCTTTGGTGCCATTTATTATTTAAAAAAATGAAAGTGACTTATCTAAAGCTGCTTGTAATAGTACGCTTTGCTGCTATTTTCTGTAAACGTAATGAAAGCTTCTGTGCAGTTTCCAGTTTTCACATGCAATAAATCTGTTGTGTTTGCATGCAGACAACCCAAGGCGTGCAGGTGAACTGTTTTCGGACACTGGAGGACTTGGTGTTGGGATACCAGCAACCCCACAAAGGCTTAGTCATCCCTCTTCTCTACGCTGTTCCTTGTGACACAGACGCAGGGGATGAGAGCTCAGGTGGGTCACAAGCTGCCATCATTTCAAAACATCTTGAACTGAAACTATTTTCTAAATGGACAGACATGTTTCTCAAGGTTTGGAGTTGTTTCAAACTGTAAATGCTCTGTAAGATGTTTATCCCTCATCTTTTGGCTGTTTCTTGGATTTTGTGTTAATGATGCTGTTTTTCCACTTGTGCTCCCTTTACTAAAAACACACTGCAAAAACACAAATCCTACCAAGTATTTTGGTATAGTTTTTTCTTGCAACTATCATATTGCACCTGAAATAAGACAAAACTATCTTATAAGTAACTTTTCAGCAAGACATAGGCACTTCATTTGAGTGAGTAATTCCTTAATATTGATGAAAAGTGGGATTTCCACTGGTGGATTATTTCACTTATAACATGGGGAAAAAAAAAATCTTGTGATAAGTATATGTATACTAAAAACTAGACCAGAAATACTTGATATGACTTATATGTTTGTTTTGCAGTGGACTGGATCTTATTGATGGTGACAGTATAAAGTTAGTTGAATTCAAATTACTGCCACTATTTAAATTTTATTTAAAATAAAACCATGTATAATTATCCTTCCACTTCCCAGTCATGTGTCAGTTTGTGTTTTTTTTTGGTCTGTCACAAAAAAATCCTCACATTTTGAAATTGAATGTTTCAATTTCAGATAGATGGATGTGAAAAAGTGAAACATATGCAAAAGTATGCAAACATAGTTAAACTGCTCTGTAATTTTACTCAGAATGAATTGTCAACAATTACAAATTCTTCTAGTGATACTGAGTTTAATTTTTGTTTCATATTTATACACAGACGATGAGAAGCCGTCTCTCATCCAAGCCCCGGTCAACACAGTGTCACCCGTGGGAACACCAACAAAACCAGCCCCTCATGCCTTGTTCCTGGAGAAGCTGCTTGAGATGAACACATCTAAGTAAATAATTTATGACCTAAGGCGACGTTTAGATTCTTAACCACATTAAAACTTTGTATACCTTCCATTCATGTTAAACAACCACTGATACCTAAAGTCAGTTTAGAAAAACAAATGAAATAGTTTTTCTTCTATGAAAAACCCATTGTTATGAAAACAAATGGCATCGGAATATATTATGGAAGCGATAAAATCCCAGTGAGCATAAAACAAAATCACATCAGAGATGCAGAAGAGAAGTCCATGAACAGTTAACTTATTTAGTAACTAATTACATTTACTTGAGTAACTTTTTGGAAAACAGTTTACATTTAGAAATATTTTTACTACTGTTACACTATAGGTCATATTTTTGGGCTGAGAGGAAGCCGGGGTTCCCGGTGAGAACTCATTCATGCACAAGGAAAAAATGCAAACTCTATTAATGAAGAACCCATGTTAAGATTTGAACCCATGACTTTTTTGCTGTAAAAACAACAAACTCTTTAAGTTCCTTCTACAACCTGGACAATCCCTTTTAAAATCAACTTGTTGGATTTAACTTCTTCTGATTAATCATTTTACATTTGTTGGCCACTAATACTTTTGTCTGAAAATACTTTTAACAAATAGATAAAACAAATTGGATATGATACACACCAAGGCCAATAGGGATAATGGCTTAAAAACGTAAGACTACAAGCTTCACTACTACTGATGAACACAGTATTAGAAAATCTATTCTGGGTAAGTGTTATATGTTCCTTGCTAAATTTGCTAAACAAAAGGACATGGGCTCTTGGGGATGAAGTAGGACCAAACTTTGACCCCAAAATGGTTGATTTTTCTTCAGAAGGTTATAGGATATACCAAAAAAAGAGTCCCTAAATAGGTGGTATATAAAATAGGTCACAGATCATGGTGACATACTTTTCTAAATTAACACTCATAGCTTCCCTGCATGGTTTGTGTTGGATCTGCCTTTAGCTGAGAGCACAACCACAAACCCCAACCTCTTAACGTTTCGGTCGGATGGGCTGCATTTACAGCCAACTAAACCGTTCAGTTAACGAACAGAAAAACAACTTCCTGTGCGTCAGTTTTTGATGATTTACTCATAGTTTAGAATGTGTGACAATGGGAGTCATGTGAAACAGAACAAATATAATATCATATAGGTTGCTTTTCTACTGATACAAATTTAACTTAATAATTAATTTAAATAAAAACTGTGATGATACATAAGCACTTAGTGTTTAAAAAGATCTGTAGCCTTACTTAGCTTTTTCCCCTAAGCTTTTGATTTCAGTAAAATCTTTTAGGTTTCCTTTCAGTTTGCTGGGATTCTGGCCCATTTCTCCTGACAGAACCACTGTAACTCAGTCAGATTTGAGGCCTGCCTTTCTCACTCTTGTTTGCTATTAGGACTTTCTGATAAATACTCCAAAAAACCCTGACTTTGTTGCAGCAAAACACCTGCACACCATGATGCTGCCATCCATCCTTCACAGTTGGAGTGATGGCCTTTGACCCTGTGTGCATTTTCAATCTTACCTCTTGGTTTTTTGTGCTGCTTTAGGAGAATATTAGCGACTTATAGATGGTAATTTTCTCTTAAAAGTTTCAGTCAGTGTCATCACCAGTTCTTTACAGAGAAGAATGTGTTTTGTATCAAAACCTGGGCATTATGCATTCATATGATTGTTTAAATAGACGAAAGTGGCAAAAAACCTCCAGATCTATTCTTATACTGACATTGTTTTTAAAAAAACTTTTATTTTTCCATGAGATCATGCAGCAAAGCGATGTGTTTTGAGGTTTAGATCTAAAGTTGTGGCGCAAATGGACTCAGATGTTGTGAATTAACCCAGTTTACAGTTTACAAAGCCGCGATATTAGCTTCTGGTGTTCCAACACCGTTTAATGGAATAGTAATATTCTAACTTTGAGAAAGGCTAACAAAGATAAACAACTATAAATAATTCATATTAATTTTATAAAAACTAAATTAACTAACACTGCAAATGTTTAGCCTGATTTAATGTCAGATAGCGTGAAAAAATGGTTATATAAGCATCTAATTTCAGTCATATAAATGTTCTGGTCTTGTTAAAACCTAAAATGAAGTGCACAAAACCACATGACAGATTCCCACTAAGTCATTATTTCATAAAGAAACATTTGTAAGCTTCAAATGAGTACAATAAATCCTCGAATGTAACAGCGGTTTCAGTTTCGTCTCACCAAATCATTAAAACTTTTACTTTAATCACATTACAGAAGGAAGTTTGTTTCCACGGCATCCTGTTTTCCATTTATTCATTTTTATAGATACATGCACCTGCTGGCAATCAAGCATTGCAGCTTTAGTGGCCTGTTCCAAGTGGCTGTTCAGGTCCTAATAATAAACAGTGCTGTTCTGCTCAACTACCCACAAGTTTCAGAAAGTGTTTTTTTTTTTTCTCTTCTGAGGCAACGTCTAACTTCCAGCAGCAGTAATAGTCAGAAAACCAAAACAATGGGGGTCAATTACATTATCTGTGTTTTATTGTATGTTTTTATAGCATTGCAGGTGAAGTGATTGGCCTGCTCAATGACTACCTCTTCATTGATTTGCCCCTGGACTTGGAGAATGTGCATAAAGGGGCAACAACTTTATATCACCTCAAGCGCACTTTGGCTACAGCCTGCCAAGGCCTCAACAGGTTAGCGTCCCTCTTAACAACAAACAGTAGATGCAGTTTTACATATTTTTGATTTTGTCATGTAACAAAAACGAGTCTCAGTTAATTTTGTATAGATTTTATAAAAATGGTGTGAAGTGGAAGGAAAATATTACTTGGTTTTCAATAGTTTTAATGTAAGAAAAAACATGGACTCATCTCCCCTCGTCAGCTCTTATTACAACCAACTTATAATTAAAATTCAACAGGAAGTGTTCTGGGATTTGTTTATACCAAATTTGCAGACTGAAGATTTTGCAAATCAGTTTGACTTTGGTCTGGTCTTTGACTTTGACTATTTGTATTTCCTCTCCAGTTACAATTGGCCTTTCAGCAGCTTTTCTGATTAATACTCCTCCAAATTGTTTAGGTGAAGAGCCATGGTTTGCAAAAATTAAAGTAAATCCATGTATTTATCTTTAGACTTTACAATTATGTCCTGTTTTCTGTTGGTCTGTGACACATAAAAAGGCAATTATATTAAACATTTGTGACTGTAACATGACAAAATCTGTAAAAGGTAAAGAGATATTCAAACTTTGACTGCATATTAGCTAATTTTTATTACAGTTTTGATTGAATTTTTTATGTTGAACGGTGACAATAAGATGAAGTGATGCCTTTATTGCTTTTACAGTGAGATAGATCTCACTCTTTCCAGTCTAGAAACCTTGGCTAAAGTCTTCGACCATCCCAGCTGCTCTTTAACTCCTAGCAAGGCACAGGTACTAAAATAAACCATGAACTACACTTGGAAATGTATCACTGTAGTTTGAGGATTCATACACTCATCATGGCTTTTATCTTGTGTTTTGGGAACGAGGGTCCAGAGAAGGAGATTGATAGCTTGTTGTGTAAAATCTCAGCTTTGATCAGCCTCCTTTCTTCGTTGGAGAAAAAGGTGTGTTCTCAGAGTTAATAAACTGAAAAACTGTTGAAATCAATACATTGTGCTTGCAAATTGCTATTTGGAATAAAGCAACATAGTTCATCTTTAGCAATGGTTTGCAGTTCCCATCTGAATATGCAGCTAGACAAATGAGGAATAAACATTTCTTGCTTGTGATGTAAATGTAACAGTGCTTTATTTTTCCACATCTAGGTTCTGCAAGCATTACAAGATGCTGTGACAAACCATAACCTGGCAGTGCAGCCCAGCCCGCCGCCTCCTGATCCAGCGCCCACCATTGTAACACCTGCAAAGACCAACACAAGGCAGCTGTCTGTGCACTCCTTTCAGGTGAATCTGTTTTAAAAAGAACCCTCTTGTTATGTTTAGCCATAATTTTTACATGAATGGTAAAGCAAAATCAAGAAAAACTTGCCAGTCTGTTAGGATTTCAGATGGAAAACAGCAGCAATGTTCTTTCAAGAAAGTGCACTCAGTAGTAAACCACCAGCAGGTTCAACTATTCGCAATTTTTTCTCTGCAGCGCGACTCTAAATTCTATAATATTAAAATATTTGAAAGGGAATTTAGTTTTTGGAAATTGAAGCAACTAAGCTCATACTACCTTACACGTTATTGGCTGATGTTCGTATCGCAGCCAATCCAGGAGAGCCATTAATTTTCCTTGGCGCTGATTGGCTGTATCCCGGAGCTAAGGAAGAGTGTGGATGCTAGCTTCTAAAGCTAAAGCGGTTTCTGTTGTACGTTTTGATAAATATGAAGTTATGTATTAACTATTAAAATAGTTAATGCCAGACAGTAAAATAGAAGATTGTTTATTTTACAATAGTTACATTTCTGGTTTCACTTGTATGCTTGATCTCTTAAAAAGGGAATAATCAAGTTGAGGAAATGGCCCAGTCAAAGTCCAGACCTCAATCTGATGGAATGCTTTGTTAAGAGCATAAAAGATTTGTGCCTAAATCAGACTCTGAAAAGCTGTTGTATCACTAAATAGATTTGATCATTTTTGGGATCACACAGAACAATGAATGATGTTTTGTTTCAGGTGAAGATGGTGAGGTACGGCAGACAAATTGTCTCTGTGGATGTGGACGCTGGAGTCCTGCTGTTTGACAGGAAGTCGAGTGCATTTGGTATCGAGAAAGTATCTCAAAACAGGAGTAAGAAAATTATTCTTTTTAGAGCTTGGAACATTTCTTTTACATTTCATGCCATTATGTTGGAATAAGTGTCATTTTCAGCAATAGATGGTTTAATGGTGCTTAAAGGAGATTAAACATGCTCAGATTTTACTGGGCACTTTCATGTAGGGAGGATGTTTCACTTGTAAATTTCTAAGTATAATCAAAACATCTATAAACATGTGTTTGTTAGATTCCTATGTACCTGCCTTTTAGAAGGATGTTCTTTACCAATACTCTGCAGAAAATGTGATATTTCCCCTTATATCAGTTCTTCAGATTGTTAAGTTCCAAAATCACCCAGCCAAGATCCGGATGGTTGTTGACAGCTACCACAGCACACCGCGGGAGATGACATTTGAGAGTGCACGGGTAAGGCAGGATGATAAGATTAACCTTTCAATTAAATTAGCTGCTTCCCTTACATGTTTTCGTTTCATCTCTGTCAGAAATGCGACTCGTTCTGCCAGCTCCTCCTGCTGATGAAGTCCAGGCACTCTCAGCTGGAGGAACCTGACATGGTCTCTGTGTTTGTTGGCACCTGGAATATGGGTAATATTGTGTGCTGACACTGATTTTCACTGTTTCTGAGAGAAAACTGAGCAGGAGCCAAACTTCCTGTTTTTGTGTCTGCAGGTGGTTCCCCTCCTCCTCGGACCTTGCAGTCGTGGGTGACCTGTTGTGGTTTGGGACACACTCCTGATGAGTCGACCGCTTTGCTTCCTCACGACATCTATGCATTAGGCACTCAGGAAAACCCTCAGGGGGAGAGAGAGTGGACAGAGCAAATCAAATCAACTCTTCGCAGCTACACTCAAATCGACTTCAAACTCGTAATTATCTCCACACCTGGTTTATGAATTTGTATTAAGAGTGCTATCTACTTCATTTTTTAAATAGCTGGTTATAAACCACGTGCATAACCATTAAATGTTAGGACACGTCTGTAAATACTTCCCCTTTAAATGCAATCATAAATCTAGGTGTATTTTAAGGCTTTTCAAGATGTCAGATTAATCAAACACCATGAGAATGTCTTCATACTGTTCAAGGTGAAACAGTATGAAACTTCTTTGCAACTCCAAGATAAAAACAAAACATTTTGCGAAGATGCTATCCAAAACGTGTAAGAAATTGTCATTGTCAATAGAAAAGTCCTGTGCTGACATGGGCTGAAAAGTCACGCAGAGAGGAAGAAGCCAATACACCAAAAGTAACAGAAAAAGACAGATTACAGTCTGTAAATGTCCTGCGGTCTGATGAAACTAAAATGGAAGCGCTTGGCCTTACTGGTATGAGATGAGGAGAAAAAAAAAACACATTTGGAACATAATCTAAACATGTATTTACAACATTTTGTTGCGTTTGGATGCAGTAGGCACTAGCGCACTTCACAAGGTAAGACTTCAAATTCAGTTACTGAAGCAGCTAAAGAAAATAGAGTAAAGTACACAGGAATAAACAGAAAACAGGTTTCATTGAATGAAAAGGATGGTATAAATAAGAATATAAATGCAGTGCGACCAGCTTATGCATGTAGATGACGTCACAGGATTCTTACAGTAGGCAAGGAGCCTAAGCCCACTGCCAAATTAGTTACAAAAGGGCTAAAGGTTAGCCAATAAAACAGTCAATACTTTAGAGCAATGGTTCCCAAAGATTTTCTGGGCCCTTCTATGGATTACAGGAAAATCCCCCCCAAAAATCAACGTGGCACACACATCGTTCAACCAGACCTAAACTGAGACACATATTTTGTTTTCAAACTCCACAAAGTTTATTTCACTGTTCAGGTTGCAACAAAACACACTACAAACCATCTTTACAGTGAAATGCTTCCCCCCCCCATTCATCTATACCGCTTCCTGCGCCCCCCTGCAATGGCATGGCAGGCCCCACAGGGGGCGCGCCCCACACTTTGGGAACCACTGCTTTAGTGTAATATTAAGGATATCTATGGAAATTTTTAAATAAAAAGGAAAATTAAATAAAATAATAATTTTTCTCATTCTTGTGGCATTTCAGAAATAGGAATAATTATGGTAATTTTAGCTGATCAAAAACAGAATAAACCTTTGTCAAAACAAAATGTTATGTATCTTCTCATTCAGTATATGTTAATCTCTGTTGTCAAATACATGGCCCACGGTGTTGAAAAACGCACGTTGGGTTTATCAGGTTGAAATATTTTTTATACATATTCATGTATAAAAAAAATTATGAAAATTATTTCTCACATCGAAGATAAGATCACAGCATGCATAAAAACACAGAGCCTTAGAAAACAGATAAACGTGTTTTTATACTTGTAGAAATATGTGTTGTAATGCAACCTCTTGTCCTCCAGGTGGCAGTGCAGTCCCTCTGGAATATGAGGCTGGCTGTGTTTGTAAATCCGGAGCATGAGAGTCGAGTCAGCCATGTGAACACAGCCAGTGTAAAAACTGGTCTTGGAAACACCCTGGGTAGGATTTGTGCATTTTCTCTCCATCACACAAATCAAATGGGAAAAAATAAAAACATTTAAATTGAGGTGTGATTGTTTGTGTTGATTCAGGAAACAAGGGAGGAGTTGGAGTCTCCTTCCTCTTCAATGGGACTTCTTTTGGGTTTGTGAACTGCCACCTGACCTCTGGAAGTGACAAAGTGCTAAGGTTCAGAAATCAAATGTCTTGGAGAAGGTTTAGTTCACTTGATGTTGTTTCTGTTATTTATTTATGTATTTTTCTATATTATAACACCAGGAGGAATCAGAGCTTTGTGGACATCCTCAGACTGCTTTCCCTGGGTAACAAACATCTCTCTGCCTTTGACATCAGCCTTCGTTTCACTCATCTCTTCTGGTGTGGAGACCTCAACTACAGGCTTGACCTGGATGTACAGGTCAGACTGACTTATTACAGCAAATATTGACATTCTCTAGTACAAAAGAACACAATCCCATATAGAGCAGAAACAGTAAAACAGACAACAAATGTAAAAGAAATCCCCCAGTTCATTAACAGGGATCCTAACCAGCTGTTTCAGATCGTTTAGTAAAAATCTTCAAGGGAATATAAGTTGCTTATTTACAGGCCTTTTTTTTCTGACTCTGGAGAAAAGATGAATTGTAAAATACAGGAAAAGTTACACTTGTAAATAACCCAGGTAAAAAAAAATCTAAACTTAATTTTATTTACAGAAAAAAACATCTGATGTCTGCAGACAGCGAATATAAAAAGTATCCGTTCCGCTTAAATTTCTCTATATTTTACTGCATTATTTTACACAAGGTTTTTTTCCAACAGTGCCATTCTCAGCTTTTTTTATTTTTATTTTGACAAAGAAGCCTCATTTTGTTAATCATGAATGATTTATAAAACCAGTAAAAACCCTTCGTATTTATTTCCATGTGTCATGTTCAGCTGAAATGTTTTCTCACGTACAGTTTGAATTTCTTCTAAAAAGGGAACCAAAGTTTAAGTTTCAGTTTGGAAAAAAGACTTTCATTATGAGTCTAAATACAAATTCTCTTTGATAATGATATTTAGGGGTTAGGGTAAGGTCAGGGTTAGGGTTAGGCTTGACAGACTGTTTCAATTTGACCTGAGGACTTTTTGAAAACCAATTTTTTCCCATTTAAAATATTATAACCTTTGATTATCCTTTATTAAAACAAAGGAAGTCTGGCACACTGTACAACATCTATTTTCCAGAGTAAAGAAATTGAGCTGAAACATAATAAATTGTGTCATCTGAATAAATGATCACAACGATGTTGTATGTACTGAGAAAAAAGAGCAGGCATCTTAATATGAATCTCTGGTGAACTCCTTTAAATACTGTGGAATAAAGTACAAGCGTGCAACATTGTGGACACACTGATATTAAACTAAAGAGTAATTCTTAGAAATCATGTAATTGATTCTGAGAAATCAAATACATCACACAGGTTGTTACACACAGCCTGTGTGATGTAACATTAGGGAATATCCTGCATCTTCATGGTCTATATCATCTGCAGGACATCCTGAAACATGTTTCCAAAAGAGAATTTGAGGAGCTCATGTTTGCAGACCAGCTGACTCGAGAAAGACAGAAAAGGAAAGCATTTTTCAATTTCAGTAAGTTCCAAGCAAAACAGATTCAACATTTCGTTTTACTTAGGTATAATTGTAAAATATTTGACTTTTCTTTCTTTGTGTTTGTTTTTTGTGATTAAGAGGAAGAAAAGATTGCATTTCCACCCACCTACCGGTATGAGAGAGGCTCCAGAGACTGCTATCTTTGGCAGAAGTACAAGACGTCAGGAGTGAGTTTTTTCCCAGTCAAATAAAAAGCACATCAAAAAAATTGATGGATAAAACAAATAGATAGGCATAAAAATATAGGTAACAATTGCTAGAACAGATGCAAAAACAGAGGACCATTAGAAGAACTATTCTACGAAAGTAAAGTTATGAAAAACACCAATCTATTTTATTTAACAATTTAGAAGAATATACAGTCTGTGGTACTGTGAACAAGAAAGATAGATTAATGTGTAGAGTTTGGTTCCAAAATCCACAGATTGAAACTTATTAGGAAACTGTGATGTGAGAACAGGATAAGCCAAAGTAAGATGTCCCAGCAGCAGATAAGCTTCGAAAGCTCACTAGAATGCCAAAACACCAGGAGCTCGAAAGAACTGATTGTTGATCCCCTGACCTTCAGATCAGTAAGCCAGAGTCCAGACGATTGAAGCACCACTGCTCAGTTCCAAGTGTATACTTCTTAAGATCATTTATTTGTAACTTAATCCTATTTCAGGAATTTGTGGGGATAAGTGACAGCAGCTCTCGAATCGCTAAAAATAGACAGTTAAGAATTAACTTTCTGTCTTAAAGAGGAATGCCTGTTGTGAATGGAAGGACACACACACACACACACGCATATATATGTGTGTGTGTGTAGGTGTGCACATATACAATGCAATAGACATGCATCCAATTACTCCTCTGGGTCATTGGTCAGTAAAGGCGTTAAAAGCTGAAAAACTGATGGCATTCAAGACAGAGAAGGCCATGTTGGTGTTTCTGAAACTTTGCATTCTTTGACTCCAGGTGCGAGTTAATGTTCCATCGTGGTGCGACCGGATTCTGTGGAAGTCCTACCCAGAAACGCACATCATCTGCACGGCCTATGGTGAGAATGTGGTTGGGAATTTCTTGGAAGAATAAACTTTGGGAAAAACCTTCAAATGGGTAAAACATAAATATGAGCTGCAAAACATTTACAAATGGTCAAATGTCGACGTGGACATAAGTTTTTATGAAGCAATTATAAGGTTGAGTAGATGCTTCCAAGTATTTCTTTTAAATTGTAAAAATGAAAGTAACATGAGCAGCACGAATGGCATTCAACCTGGGCTGTGGTCCACAAATGCAGAGTAATTTCCTCAAATTTATATGTAACTTGTGTTTCTGTACAGATAGACAAGTTTCCTTTTTGTAAAAAAATTGGTGTGTTGATATATGGTGATTTGCAAAAGCATTTATACCCTTCAAAGTAACTCAAGCTCTATCAGATGGGGGGGAAAAAGCACCTATACACATATTTTCAAATCCTTACTGCAAAAATACAAAATTCTACTTAGTGTTTAGTTTTTAGTGCAGCTATGAACTTGCAAGTAACTTTTGAGGAAGATAAGGGTGTGTATGAATTATGAAACATTTAAGGGATATTAATAGTGTTGCAAGACCCTGTCACACTGACAGCTCTTCTTCTTCATCATGCTGTCAGTCACAACATATATAAGGTGTTTTTGTAGTGATAATAATAATAATAATGCTAAGAAAGCTTTTTGTTGTTACCAGGTTGCACTGATGACATCTTCACAAGTGATCATTCACCTGTTTTTGCCACTTTCCAAGTGGGAGTGACGTCTCCGTGCAGCAAATCAGGTGCATCTGTAACTGTAAACCTTTGGTTATAAATGGTTAGAATATGCTCTAACCATTCTTCTTGTGTTTTTTATTTTTTATTAAACAGATTCAAACTCCAGTGTGGAGAGAGCCTGGATTGAGCTGGAAGAAATTGACACCATAGTAAAGACTGCAAGCAAGTCCAAGTTCTTCATCGAGTTTCATTCCTCATGCCTTGAAGGTGCAGAATGGTGTCAAAACGACCCTGTAAACCAAGATGCGACTCGGTTTTCAGAAATTAACTCCTGAATTTACCTGCAGAGACACAACGATCCAGTGAGAATAATTTACAAAGCTGTGATGTTCCTGGGTTTCTCAAACTGGGCTGGACCTGCAAACAGCTCCCGAAGGTCAGCAGCGGCTACAACCAATTGAAAAATGGTTCTAAAAAAGCATTTATTGTTGTTTTTCCTAACATTATTTTTGTTTACATCTGCTAAAGCTCATTCCAGTCGTGTCTGACCTGGAGTATCTCCAGGATCAGCACTTGCTGCTGTCTGTGAAGTCCTGCGATGGATATGAATCTTACGGTAATCTGTGCCGTCACAAACATCACATCCAAAGAAACCTCACCCATAAGTCATTTTTGCACTTTACTCTCATCACAGCAATAAGTTCAGAGTATTATGCTTTAACTTGATAAACAAGGCCTACAGCTCTGAGATAAACTAGTCTCTGCACAAATGAATCAGCATAATTAATGGAGACATGCAGTGCTTATGCTTACACTTTATTTAAAAAGTCAATGTCAAATGGTGGTTCAAAATTTTCTTAGAAAGAAAAAGCAGCTGGAGAGATCAACACATTCTTCAAAATATGAACTGCAAAGTCAGTTACATCACAGTTAAATGTCTCAGGGAAAAAAATATGCCAAAAAAGATTCTGATTGAGATTTCTGTATTCGTCTGTAGCTGAAGCTGCAAAATGCTGAAGTTGTTTCAGGATTGAAGGCTGGTGTTTTAAAGCTCTACTCATAGACATAAAAAGTAAATTTTCCCATTATTGATTTCTTTTATTTTTCTATTTTCTCAGGTTTAAACGATATGGATCATCGAAAAAAGATAACTTACAACAGGCATGCATTAGATGAATATGTGTAACTGAATAACATTTCAGGAAAAATTAAGCTTTGTTTGCATGAGATGTGGGGTTACCAACAACAACAAAAAAAACACTTTTGGGTAGTTTTTGACTGAAATGATTTCCGTAGGTGAATGTTGTGTTGCTCTGCGGTCGGTGATGGGCTCGTCGCAGAAATTTGAGACATTTTTGACTCATCGTGGTGAGGAGATGGGCTCCATACGAGGACGGGTCAGAGTTCACGTATCCAAGGACAGGCGAGGCGCACGGAAGAAGATTTATGGTGGGTCAGCTGACACTCTTCCATTGTGAATCTTTGCCTTGGTTGCACTATCACTTCCTGCTAAACCTTCATCTCCACTGTCACTGTGCCCTTCGACTCTTCTGTGAGCCTCACATCGCTTCCTCTATTTGGTTCCTCAATGATCCCCTGGCTTGGCTTTACACACTTGTATCTCTCGACTGCTTCCTCTTTTGGCTCCTGACTGACTGACCCTGACCAGATGCATCCTGAGACACTGAAACAGGACATTTGGGTTTTAGGCCACCAGGTCAGGCACAACACACAAACACAACTTTGCTGTTTTACTGCAAACTGGCAGCAGTCTTTTGCATGCAAGGAACACACAAACTTAGAAGAAGTTTTGACGATTGCAGAATTAGGTTTTCATTTCTGTTAACTTTGCTTTTTCAGACTTGTTCTGTTTTGAGAAAGACGATAAAGGTCCTGGAAGGGGACACGTGTCTCATGCAGCAGCACGGATCACAGTGACTCGGTATGAATGTCTCATTGTTTAAATGCAATGCTGTAAATGAACAGGAAGGCTTTAACACTCAAGTGCAAAATGTTCAAATTAATGGAAGCAGTGAAAAATTGCATTTAATTTAAGAGTTCAACCTTTTTGAATCGTTTCCTGAATGTTAAAAGCAGCTGTAGTTGCAGGTAAGCAATAAAAGAAGAGGAGAAATCTGCATTTGTGATGACAAAGCAGGTCACATTACATACAGTTTACCCAGAACATTTGTTGTACAGAGTTACTGAGTAGTGTTATATCTTACAAAGAAAGGACAGATAAATTAAAATTAAAATTTTGTTACATTGGCTCTGTATGAGTGGCTGAATAAGTTAATTCTGTTTTTACTCAGAATTTTCGATTTTCCATTTCAAAGTTTGAAAATGAGAAGAAATGGAAATTTGGAGGTTTTGTACTAATCTCAAATTCCAGTATGGCTGCCTTGCATATAATGCACTATGAAAACAAATTTGTCCCTTTCAGATTATTCTGTTTCTTTTTTTTTATATGTTCATTTTTATCACACTGAAATGCTGCTGATCAAAAACAAAACTAACTTGATCACATGTGAAAATGTAATTCCCCCTTAAAATTGAACAACTTTTTCAGTCTTTGTTGCAAAATGTGTTAATTAAACAGCAGAGACATGGAGAAGGGTGACTCCATCAGACTTAAGTCTGAACTTTAACTAGGCCGCCTCTATCTATGTAATTGGGATTATTCTCCTCTTAGGTTCCACTTTATTCGTGTCAGTCCAGAGAATATTTCACCAAAAGCAAACCTTTTTTCAACAGGAATTTTCACCTTAGAAGCCATTTTTGCCCTCTATTCCTTATGTTATGGCCTCTTTCAGCCTACTTCATGTCACCTAGCAGGTTCTATTTAGGTGATTTCTTGCAAACTACAAATCTGGCAGTAATCAGGAATGGGTCTGGCTACACGAATTAAAATATGTCCCAAAAAATGTGGTAGATATAAGTTATTTTATGAGTTTCATGATTTGAAAACTGTAGTTTGTATTTATGTCCAAAACCATTAAGGAGAGGAAGGGCAGTAAAAACGAATTTATTGTCTTGGTTTTTCATATACAAACTCCTTTAGTAGCAATGCTGCTGTGATGCATAATACAGATAAGTATTGCAACTGTGTTACTAAGAGTAAGTTTTGTTTCTCTAACTTGAAACAGGAACATGATAAAGTTGATTTTTGTCGTTTTCAGATAAGTTTCTCCTTTATTGTAAATGAAACCACTTTTTACCACCACGTTTTTGTTTTAAGATCTATCTGAGGTGGCAACACTCAATGTGATTGTACAGCTTCTCTTTTTAGCAGTCGTGTTTAGTAGCGTTACATCACTGCTGATTTGTCCACGTTTAGTATGAAAATAAATCGGACAAACTTGTGTCTGATTATTTAATTCTGCTACCACTTGGTTTAATTTAACTACAGCACTTGGTTTATTACTACACAGCTGAAAGTATCTAGAATCCCATACAAATGTTTAACAATTGAATATTTTAGTACATGGAAGTTTTTATTGATGTTTTATTCAGTTCCTTTGTGTTTGGGAGGAATGTAACATGTCAGTAAGTCTTAGAAAGCAAAATCGCCAGGACTGAAATTGCCTTTGATTAATTAAAAAGATCCAAAGTGTTTAGTTGCTTAAAGTGTTTTTAACACAGCAGGTTAGTTTAATAAGAAACATTTTCTTCTTTGAAAAGCAGTTGTTCTGTTCCTGTTTTTGATTAGGTAAACCAACAAGAAAGTAGTTTCAAAAGAAAACCACCTGCTAAATCCAAGATGCTTAGCAGTAGACTGTTACTTTCACCATCACCAACCTCTGACAAATGCATTAAGTATCTAAAAATTGGTCACTGAAGCTCTAATTTGATGGTGCAATTAAAGGTGTTAAGCCTGTTCCTGTAGAAACAGAAACATGAAAGAAACAGATTGACAAAATATTAGAACGTATTTTTGTTTTGGTTCTAGTTTAATATCTAAAAGCAAACTCATATCTATATCTTGCTGGAAAGTTACCTAGAAGTTAGTTTTGTCTTATTTCAACTGTACAAAGACACTTGCGCTAGAAATAAGACTCCAACTGCAAACTTGCATTTTTGATTCAAGCCATTCTGACTAGTTGCAGTGAAACCTGCTGTTCATGTGATAAACTGTTTTATTTAATGTAGGCCATCAGGAGTGCCTGTTAAACCTACAGTGAGCAGCTACACCAATCCTGCCTACTTCATCTTTGAAGGCGTATCAGTTCCACACAGGGTGGAGGAGGCCCTTCCTCAGCGAAGGGACCCCCAGGTCATCTGGTCTGGAAACGAAGCCCTGCAGCTTCCAAAAGTGTCAGTGCGGCAGGGCTTCGACAGGAGACCCTGTCACAGATCAGACTTTACCGAAATTGAAATCCCAGCCATCTTGTCCCAGTGCAACCTAACCAAAGACCTTCATCCGTCCCAAACCAACTCGTCCTATCAGCTCTTTCCAGCCCAAAACCAGGCTCCAGTGTCTCCTTCCCCAAGAAATCATGTCCCTCAATTCCAGGAACCGACGTCACAAATCGGAGAAAAATACCAAGGAAAACTAAATGTTCATGACTCCATGCAGCCTGAAGGCAACATTTGCATCAACCACTCTGATATCACACATAAAAACACCAGAAGAGATAAACGCCAGCTTCAACCAAGGAGGAGAAATGCCATGCAGCCAAAGTCCCCGTCCCTTCTGCCTTACACCCCCACCTCTTTGACACATTGTCAGCACTCTGTTTCCTGGATCGTTGAGAAGCAACCCCCGACAGGAGACAACCCTCACCGCTTTGCAGATTGCCAAGTCCCTCAGTGAGGTCGACTTCTTCCCCTCAAAGGAAAGAGGCCCGTCTGTAGTCAGACAGAGGGCGAGTTATGGAAACGGCCCGTCCATGCATGGAGACCGAGGCTACGTCTGGGATAAAGAGGTAAAAAACGCAGACATTTAGTGATGCCACGTTTATTGATTCCTTGTTAAATAAAGTTTTTCTACTGAATCTCAATGCAGGTGTCTGTCCTGAAAGGTGCACCAGAAACTGTGCAGGAGCTTCTCAGTACTTTAGGTCTTCAAAAGTACACCCTGGGACTCAGCCTCAGTGGTTGGGACGACCTGGATTACTTCAGGTAAACAATTGAGCCCCATTCGAGTAGGAATTAGTTACATTTATCTAGGGCTGGACAATAAATCAATAACGATAAACGCGGAATCAATGTCGATAGATAATGCGTCTGATACTAACTTGTAAATACATTTTCAGCTTGTTTTAAGTGAATAATTGCTTAATATTAATAAAGGAGAACTAGATCCACTAGCAAATTATTTAACTGGTATTTAGATTATTAGAAGTAAAGTAATCTGACAGTGTGACTAGTTATTTTTTATTAATCGTAAAGAATTATTTTCTGAAAACAAGTTGCTATATTTAGCCTAAAAGTTACTTGTAAGTTAGCTTTGTCTAATTTTAAATGTGCTATTTGCGGTAGAAACTCGACCAGATTTCAGCGGTGAATATTTTGACCTCATATTTTTCAATATTCGATGTGTAGAAAATGATCTGAACTGTGATGCAGAACCGCGCAACATTCTGGGGCATGTAGGCAGAGAAAATGCTTTAGCTTAGCGTTTCTCAACAGGGCGTTCGGAGCTGTGATTCACTTGTCTGGTGTCTGATTTTGAAATATTCTATGTTTTATTCAGGATTTTTGTTCATATGTCTTGGAACTGCTGTGATCATGTCAAAGCAGCAACTTATATTAAAGTGTTTTATTGACTGTGTGGATGCTGTCCACTGCCATGGGAGGACTACAGCATATCGCTCTTATAAACATGCAATGACTAAAATCACGTTACTCTCACTGTGTATCCCTCTGAAAAGTGAACCCATTTAAATAAAGAAGTCCTTCCACGCAACAAATACCAGGAACACCAGAAGTTGTGATTCTAAATTTTTCTGTCGCTAATAGAACTGTATTTTATTAGTTTTTATTGTATTTCTATTAAATTATGCATAATTTAACATGGTGGTTACATTGCAAATATTCCTCTGACACATTAAAAAGTTCCCAAGTGATTGATGGGACTTTTGCTTGGGAAGGTTTTACTGTGTGAAATGAAATGTAACACACTAAGAGAAATGTCTCTCAATCATTGTAGACAATTTGCCTCCAACCTCCTTGTTCTCCATCGTGTTTCTCCACCAAGGAGGGAAACGATCACAGAGGAAGTTTTGTACTGAGGGTGAAGACACAACAAACTAAAGACTGTAATGGTTATAAAGCAGGAGAGCCAGGCTGTAAAACAGTCATTAAAGCAGATGAAAATTGTAAAAAAAAAAAAGAAAAAAAGCGTAATAAAACAAATGTAGAATTTTTTACACATTAAAACTGTTTTTTTCTTTTAACATTTGCAGTAGTTTAAATTTTGACTGGGCTTCCACAATGATTTTTCTTAAAATTATTATGTTGCATCATATTATTTTTTGCTGTTTTGTGACATTTCTCTTCTTAAATGACTGGTATTGTTAGTATTGTTTTTGTCTACCATCCTTTTGTCCTAAAGGATTTTGAGGGAAACTTTTTTTTTTTTTATGAATAATTCAGACACAACAGTCTCTGAGTGCCTTCAGATAAAGTTTAGTTCACATGACAGATCAGAGAGAAGGTGGATTGTTTCAGGGCCACAGAGCAAGAAATCTGTACAGGAAAGAAAACATTTTTGGTTTTTGGTACATTTTGTTTTAGATGTGTAACACTTTGTTAGGTAAATTGTTCTACTTTGTAGATTTATGAAACTCCAAAGTTACTTGGGATGTAAGTTCAAGTTTACTTCAATGCTGCGATTTTCTTTTTTTCTTATTTTCTTTGCTCCTATTGTTCTTGTGCAGTGGGATCACAGAGGAGGATCTGTGTGCAGCAGGTGTAACAAACCCGTCACACCGGCGCAGGATCCTGGAAAACCTTCCCAGGAACTGGAACTGACAGAAAGCCAGTGCTGCAAACTCCTGAACTGTCTGCTCTTAACCTGAACTGGAAAAACTTTCAGAACAGATCTCTCTCTGATCTGAAGCGTCACATTTGCTGGACACCCGTCGTCTTTTAATCTGCTCTATTAAAACTGTAACACAAGGTTATTTGTGCCAAAACAGAGAAGGAAACATAATGCATGAAGTACTTATTGCACATTATATGTTGTTCATCTGGAGCTTAGATAACTGACCAAGAAGTGGAAGAAATGATAATGACATTAAAGCCTCTGTGAATTGATATAAAAACATAACTCTCTTATTTTCCACAGCTCATTTGAAGTCCAGGTTTACCATCTGTTTTCCACTATGTACTATTTTTTTTTTACATTGCTACTATTGAGCCACAGTGATCAGTGTTATAATAAATCAAAAGAGCATAAACTCCAACCATATCTACAGGAAGCCTGCCTGGAAACCTCTCTAGAAACCATCCCATCTCTTTTTTATTGTTTACTCTGTCCTAATGTTGCTATCAAGTCACGTAATCAGTAGCTGCATCTACTGCACATGTTTATAAAGTTGATAAAGCAACACTTGAATGCCACCAAGCAATGATGTGTCTTCTCATGCTTTCAAGCAACAGCGAGGAAGATATATCTCCCATTTATGACCTCTAGTTTCCATTTCAGGGCTCTGCTAATGTCCTGTATTATCCTGCTCATACGTTGTTTGATTACGCTAACTTGGTGATGTAGTGCTGCTAAGCCACATGCGAGATTGACCAAAAATGTCAATATTTACAAGTCAATTAGGAGATTTAGACTGAGGTTTGGAGAGAATGACTGTAGTTTTTTTTTCCATCTGTAAGATTCCTACAATGATATGGTGGTGTCTTCTGTCAGAGTCCTCCAGATGTTGGTGAGGTGATGCTTCAGCAATGAGACTCTGCATGCATGACTTTGATTAGCAAAGTTTTGTGACAAACTGCAGCACAACTAAATCGTGAGGAAATCTTGGCCCAATCATAGTGAAGTCCCCTTGATCGCGAGACCGTTCTGGTCAACACAAAGTAGATGTTATCACATATATGTTCCAGATATAGGCATGTTTGGGTGATGGCAGTGGATCGTTTGCTACTGGAGTCCATAGATTTGACTTGTTTTTCAAACTCTGTGTCTCTTGGTGGATCTTCTCCTTCCAAGTCCTCCTGTACAATCAGACATTACAATGTCCATGTCCATAACATCACCTTATGTTTTCCATCTCATCTCACTTCTATGTAATGACAGACTGCAGCAGGGAAAATCCAGTTCCTAAAAATAACCCCTGGATATTGTCTGAGTCTGGCTGTGTTTTGTGTGCAGCATTCAGTGGAGGTAGTTACTTATTAAGGCAGCACCAAACAACTCAGCTGACTGCAGGTCTGTGTCAGTGACCGCTAAGTCACTGACCCGCTAACCATGAGTATATCATCTGTGGGAGTGTTGTCAAGTTTTGGCCAAGTTAGAATCAAATGAAGAAGACCTAAATCCTTCAACGGAGTTAATTTGGATTTTTGCACTTGCTGTTGCATTGTTTTTATAAGCTGTAATGTTGCATGATTTATTTCCATCCAGTTTCACATTAAGTTTTGTTGAAATTTCATAAAGTAACTTCATGTCAAAGCAGTTGTATAAGAACAAAAGGAGAAGCTGTGAAAGGGTGAAATGATTTGTGATTAATTTTCTTCTTGTGTTGGCAATGGTTACCTGAAATAGCTGTTCACTTGCAGTGAACAGGGCTTCTTTATGTCCAAACTTTACAAGCAAACTCCAGGACAAAACCGGCAGAAGGTGACTAAGCCTATCTGAATGCACAATGAGGAGCAAAGGCTTTTGGGTGACAGTTTTGTGAGGAAGATTTCACACAAGCTGCATCTGTCCAAGAAAAAAACATCAAGACCAAACAAAATTTCTGCAGGAGCAATGACAATGGATGTGATAATCCTGATTCTGATTGTTTTTGAATAAGTTGCAGAGAAGAAACGGTGATGATACTGAAGCATCCTGACACAATCAGAACAGTTAATTGGATGCTTCTGATCCAAGAGAGTAACTTCATATTAAGAGTATCAAATCATGATATAAAAGTACTTTCTCAAGAATTCAAACAGAATTTGGTGAAAGCAAAACATAAACGGATCAACCTCAAGGGCGTTGAAGCCAGGAGTGGGTCACTACTGGTCAAGATTGTCCCAGTACTTACAAAGATTTCTGTTATACCAGAATGAGTAGCAGAAATTGAGAAGGTGAAGGGTCAACTCTGTAAATACTGACTATCCACTTTCATTTAGTATCTTGCAGTAAAAGCTTTTGACAAAATATATTTGATCTTTATCCAATTTACCATGAGAACCAGCTGCCATATTGTTTGACTAGAACAGCAGTTTGGCCAGTGTTGCGTAGTAACGAGTTACTCAATTACATTTGCTTGAGTAACTTTATTAAAAAAAATATATACTTTTAGTATTTTTACTTCTTCTTTTACTCGAATAATTGTATTATGAAGTATTGCTCCTCTTACTTGAGTAAAATTTCTGAATTTTCTACCCACTGAATGAAAAACAAACTTGTTTAAACCAAAAACCACCAGACACACACCTGCAGTTTCTATTAAAGTTTCATAAGTTTTTTATTGAAAGAAACTGATTTGGAAAAATTATTTTGCCTGATTTTGTAATTTTTGTTAAATATATGAATTATTGACATTTTTGTTCTTAAAATGGCAAAAGTTCCACTCATCTTTATATTTTGATCTGTATGATGATGTAATTTTTAAATATTAAATCATTGGTAATTTAATTGATAAGTTACTCAGTCTTTGAAGTAGATGCTTTTTTATTATTTTTTTTTAACTAATGCTTTTTTACTCTTTCTTGAGTCATTATTTTTACTTTTTCGTGGGTAAATATATGTTCAAGTGCTACTCTAACTAAGTACAGTTTTTGGGAACTCTATGCAGCACCGAGTTTGGCAGTAACACCATGATTGGCTACACTTGTTAGCTGAGTTTTGATCAAAATGAATGAATTAAAATCTACTGAATCAATACAAATGAGAAGCCTTTATAGTTGTAGCACTGATAACCTGTCCCTTCAAAATGCTGACAGTTTCTGGGCCACCCACTTTGCTCCAGAAGACATGCAAACACCTAGCATGGCTTCTTTAACAATGCAGGGAAGTGTGTGGATGAATCAGTTGAAGAAACACTGAAGAGCTTTGCAGAGACGCCAAGGTTAAAGCTGCTATATAACTGCAAATCATTAAATTAACATAAGCCAACGCAGGTCATGTGTAAAAATGTCACCAGTTCACATGAAAACGCTCTTCGTCTTCGAGCAGAGCAGTGTTTACAGGGAAGCAATTGTGCTTCTATTATAGAGGTGAAAGAATCGAGCACTTTTCATTTCTTTCTTCAATGTTTTTCTTGAGGTTACCTTCCACTTGAGTGATTTATTCTTTCTATTCCTCCTGATGAATGTTACAACTTCTGTATCAACTTGTGAACTGTACGTAAAGCAAAAGGCTGTTTTCACATCAACTCCAAACAGAAAGATTTGCAAACGGCGTTTGCATTAAAACGCCGTTTTACTCCTTGTGTTAATTAATGCTTGAAGTGACAATTTGAGTCTAACTGGCTATCTTCACAATCCTAACTTTTCTTTCTTACAAATGAAAATATGAGTGTAGTGTTCATTCTGTATTTTACAAATCTCTTGATGAACCTATAGCTGCACATACTAATATTAAATGATACACAACAGTACTCTATCTCATTAAGAAGTAATTTATGGAGGCAGTTGGTTGCGCTGGTGTGGTGTCGTCTGTCAGAGTCCTCCAGATCTTGGTGTGGTGATGCTTCAAGAGTGAGACTCTGCATGCATGACTTTGATTGGACAGCAAAGTTTTATTACAAACTGCAGCACAACCGAATTGTGAGGAAATCTTGGCCCAATCAGAGTGAAATCCCCCGATCGTCAGTCAGCATCTCTTTTTTAGGGTTCCAGTCAACACAAAGTACACGTTATCACATCACAGTGTTTCTTATTTCACAATATGTGAAACAGTGGTGTATCAATAAATCACAGTAAAGATGGCAGAATCTAGCAATAAAAAATTCAGCATCAACACTTTCATTTGGAGTGGGGACATTTTACGATTAAGGCTGGAGAGTTTCGAGATTGGCAGTCAAAAATAGGAGGCACTGTCCAACAGAAATTTCCAAAGGAACATTTTTAGAAAACAGAGAGACATTATTCTAGAAGCCTGTTCATTGGATGCAGTTTCCAGTGTTCATTTTTTAGATGACTGTGGTCAGTGAAATAAGAGTAAAAATAGTTTTAACTTACGAATCTGTTGCAGTGCAGAGGCTCATACAGTTTCTCTGTCTCACATTTTTAATTGACAAGATTCTAAATATTCTGTCAATATAGTCAAATGTTTAAATTCTTAATGGTTTTACATGTTTTGACACATTTTTTTTCTTTTTTTGCAGATGGTGCTGAAAAGGTTTTCAAATTTGTGAAGATAAATATTTTCCCACAAAACGCTCAACTCACTGATGATTCAGCTCCTACAGTTTTACAACTTTTTATTATTTTTTATTAATGCAAGTCAAATGGGATACAAACTAATAAATCAATTAGTTTGTGGCACAAAATTGAGCTGATGTCAGATCAAAAATATTTCAGAGAATTTTGGGAGATAGAATGAGAATATTTTTTTACTTTATAGATCAGTCAATCAATAAATCTGTCTTAGTTTCAAAAACTCTTTTCATACATCGAACAAAAACCCGCCGCCCAAAGAGACGTCCCATGAGCACCCGCTAAACTGCAACCATGGCAACAGAGGAAAGCATTATAAACACTGGCGATATAAAAAGCCACAAAGAAATAAGTAAGCAAGAAAGAAAACAGCAAACTAAGTTGGCAAAACTGGCAAAAGCAAAAACGTTCAATATATTAGCAAAAAATAAGTCAAAAATAATCGTCAACTGACACCGAAAAGAAATAAATGGTTAAAAAAAATAGTAAAGATCAATTACAAAAACACTCAGTGGTAGACTTTGCTTTAAAGACGTCTTCTTTTGGAGGTTCCCTAAGGAAGATGGTTCCACATGCTGATAGCTGTAAAACAATACACCTCTCTACAGGGGCTTGTTTTGATTTTCAGGGATTAATGAAAGAGCTTCTGGGGATCAAAACCAATTTGTTGACCCCTGTGTGGCTTGGACATCAGTCAGCAGCAAAATTAGACAAATATTTTAGACTCAAACCATACAAAGCTCAACCCACCCTCATCCCCCCATTCATGATAATATAATTTAAATAAATCCTGAAAGGCACTGGAAGCCAAAGCGGAGACCTTCCCACCCAATTCCTGCCCATTTCCACGCCCACATAGTGAGGAACACATTACCGAAGGAGACACTTGCAATTTAGCTAGAACTGAAACAGAAATCATCGGTTAGAATGAGACGGTAGTGGAGAAGTGGCTTTAATGATGAAAGTGTGGGTCTCTGGCTTGAGAGAGAAACTGTCTCGCTCCTGAAATGGTTTTTCAGGTCAAAGAATGATACTTTTGTTTCATTTCTGTGTGATTTTAAATTTAAGATAACACCAAGGTCCTTCACAACCCCAGAGGGGGGTGGTGTCAGAACCAACGCTGACTAATAACTTGTGAATTTGCTTTTTTCAGGCTGAGCTGTAGAAAGTCTTCCACTAACCACCTGCTGATGTCAAAGATGCAGTTGGAAATGGGATCTAAGGGTCTTGTGGCATCAGGACACACAGTAATATAAAACTGTATCATCTGTATAACTATGGGCATGTGTCTCTTGATGACATCCCCAAGAGACCGGGTGTGCAGTGGAAAAGAAATGGAGCCGTATATTGAGCCTTGGGGAACACAGCATTTAATTAACAGCTAATGAATTGTAATTATGCAATTATCTTCCTCTGGTTCTGTTTGGTTGGTCTCAAACGAGACTGAAACTTATTCATTGACTCACTCGATCAAAAACAAGTTTCTCTAAAATCCTCCTTGAAAAAAATATAAAGTAGACTCGATATTTTTTTTCTTTAGACAGAACTTAACCATTTACATCCATATGGAACTAACAGAACAACACTATTAAAATGGGTCGACTTTATTCCCACTGTGGTTCATATTTTGTATCTTCTTTATGAAAGTTATAAATCTGTCAATTGTCATTACAATATAATCATTACTATGAATGTGATTTCTGATTTACTGCCTTATTGTTGATATGTAGCCAAAGATTCTAACAATATAACACTTTTATCACATATAATGCTAATGTAAATGGTTTGAATGCTTTACTGTTAATAACATCAGTATAAAACAACGTAAATAAATGACTATTATTATTATTATTATTATTATTATTATTATTAAAATGAGTGAGTATTTTCTGCTCTTGTCAGCATAGGTTATTCCTACACTATGTAAAACCTTTAAGGTTCATTGCATATAGGTCACTGACATTTTAGTAACTTATTAATTAAACCTTCAGAGTTAATCTGAGTTTATTGTCTTTGGCTGCAGTGCACATCCGGCTGGATTTTATTTCTTTATGACTAGACTTTATCATCCCACGCCTTGTTGTGTGAATCTTCAATAAAAACCTAAGATCTAGTAAATAACGCAGATACAAGTCAAAGTGGCACAACTAAGTAAATGTTTATTCATATTCAGCTCAGGCTGTTTTTTGGGGGTAACATTTCTGTAGTATCAATTTAAGAAAGTTTTCATTGCAAATTGTTTCACCCTGTAGCAAATGACACCAATGATGAACTCTTTTTCCACTGGTTCACTCAAAGAAGAAGAATCACAAGACAAAGCACAAGCATTACCCAATAGAGTTGTGAAAGTTTTAAAATTAGCAGTAAAATGTGCTGAGTATGTGATGTAAGAAAAATATGTTAACTTAAACTATGGGGCTTTGTTTATATGCTTCTAGCAATTTTGTTGGTTTGGATCTCTTCAGAGCTAAACTTCATTGTACATATTTGAGATATTTCCTTTTTTTTTTTTTGATATTTCACAACTTTCTCCTGGAAAGTTTTGTTTTTCACCTCGCTTCAGCTAACCAGCTGGATTTTATCATGTGGACACAATGTACTCCCAGTTTAGCCAAAATGAAAAATCTGTCTCAAAGTAACAAGTTATTCTGTAAAAAGTATAAATGTTTTTGACATACCAAACGGTTGTTGTACTTTAGCGCTTATAAGAAAATCGTCTGCATTGGACAAAACAAGAGAGCTTTGGTAACTTTAGGTTCCCTTTCGCTCATTGGTTGTGCAACGTTGCGTGACTCTTTCATTATCTAAATATCTGATTGTAATCAGGTGCCCATCTATGTCGTTGCGTTTCACATCAAAAGGTTTGTTTGATGTGAAACAAAACTCCCACTCCAGCCGGAAACTGGACCCGACTGAATCACATGATGGATGTTTGAATTTTGTGTATTTCTTTGTGTAAACTTCCTGATAATAGTTTTTATTTTCTCTCAGCATCGTTCAGTCATTTTTTGCAAACATCTCGCTCAGATTAATAAGAAATACATTTTTTCCCACTGGGCTCTAAGTGATAAGTTTACAAGCATTTTCCCGGGTATTTAGAATTTCTTTTTAAACTTCATTACTTGGACCAAAAATGTTGAGAGTATTTCCATAAGCCCATCTATTTGGTGAACAGTATAATGAATGGACAGCCCAATGGTATTTATACTTGCACATAATTTCTTGAACAGATTAAATAAATCTTTAGAGGCCAATAATTCTATTTCTGATATCTTGTTTGATATTTTTTATTCTTCCATGATGTCACACAAGGAATAATACAATAATATTTTTTTTTTCAGGTGTTGCCTAAAGTATGGACACAGGTATGCCTCTATGTAACTCAAGTTTTGATTAATTGATTTAATGTCAGCTTGTTTAAAAAAGTAATTTGCAGTTTTGTACAGTTTATATACATGAATGGTTTCAGATGTTGTAACTTTTTTGATTTTTGAACATTTCCTCCAGAATGTTTTGTAAACTGTTACATTACCCAAATTTATTATTTTAATAAATATTAAAATGATAAAATAAATCAATAAATAAATAAAAACATCTTCACATTCTTTGCAATTTTAACTCCTGGGAAAATTCAGACATCATTGTCAGATAAACTATATTCATTTATAAGTTATAAGATTACTTGAATGCATGTGAAGTCATTCGTAGTTGCTGCAACTTTAACAAAACTTTCCCTGTGCTGGTTTTCAGAAAACACTCCCAGAATTGAGTTGGCATTATTTTATTTTAACAGCAATATATTGTTGCAGTCTGCTTCAGTAACAACATCTATTATTTTTAGATTTATGCTGCAGCATCTGGCAGCAGTATAGTGATTTGGTAAGATCCCCAGATGATTAAACATTTGAGCATTTCTACCTTGAATAATTGTATGAGTTATTTTCCCTGATCAAAATGTGGTTCTGATTTGCAAAAAGCACATTTAGGCAAATGTGTAGTCCTCTTTGAAAACTGGAATGATTTAAAACTTGACAGAATGGATTGTGAAAGACAAAATTCTGGGAATGCAAGATTGTTGTATCATCCTAACTAAAAAAAAAGAGAAATAAAATGTGTTTTCTGTTAGATATTCAAATTAAAATGTGCTTTTCCCAAACTGATGCAGAAATATGTAAAACTGGTCAAAACGCTACTTCACTCAGTAGATCTCCTTCCCAATAAGGCTGCAGAAAAACAAACAAACTATAATTTGTTTTTTGATTGTCACACAACTAATGAGTTTTAAAACCAGGACAAATCTAGACAGGTCATAACTTGCTGAGGGGGGCAAACAAGGCTCTAACTGACATTTTAACACAACCATGAAAAACCGGTTCAATTATCCAGTCAGAACAAATACGACATATTTTGAAGTGAGGTGAAATGCTTTTCACTCTAACTGTTAAAGTAATCTGATTACTTCTGAATTTGGCAGAACTTATTTGAGGAAAAGAGTTTATTGAACTTATCGCACCTTTGTGTTGGCAGTATCCTTGCAAACTTACACCATAACTTTTATCTGCCATTTTAAAATCAGTCGGTTGCTGTTCTTCAGAGTGGCACTAAAAAAAAAGAAAGTTTATCCTGTTTTGAAAGAAAATATTTATTAACGACTTGGCAGTGTTTGTAACGTTTGAAAGCCCATTTGGTGACTGTGATGTAAAAACAAACAAACTTGTGTCTCACAATTATGAGGTAATATCTTCAATGAGTTGGCTTGAATTGATTCTCTGGCATTCTACATAAGTGAATGAGACAAATTCATAGAAAGAAATGGATGTTGCAATATTTCAGAAGTGGATTTACAAGCCCTGAAATCCAGCAAATTTTGGCAAAATCCTATGTCAAAAGAAACGGCTTTTGTGGAGAATAGAAATAGACATAATTATGAGGTAGATACACTTAATACACTTATTTTCATCATTGTTAGACATGGGTGTCCATAATAATTAGACTTGGAAACAGAGTTTATAGATTCTCTTGAAGATGAAGATGGTATAAGAGCGTGTGACTATTCTCCAAGTAACTTTAAAAAGTCAGATTCTGGTTTATAAATGTGTTTATAAATGCGTGGCCCTTTATGTTTTGGGGACATGCCCTGTGATTTGATGAAACTATTGAAGTCCTTGGCCATAATACATATGGAGATTATGGTTGTGCTGAGCATTTAAAACTCACAAAATTCTGCATATTTATCATCCTCCCTCCACTCCATCTAAAGGTTCCTGGTAAATGAATGTTGAGCCTCATCTTAAATTGCATGGAGGGCATGCTTGGTCGTCATTTGCAGTCATAACTGGAGAACTTTTTTATGACCGCATGGCCAGAATTCGACGACCCACTTTGGGGTCCTGACCCCAACCTTTGGGCACCACTGCTCTACAGATATACAGCTTTAACTCATGATGTTTCACTTCAACCATAACTCCATTTTCTCCCTTACTCTAATTGACATAGCATATGTTTTGCATTCATAAACGGGATTATTTAAGCTCTAAAAAGAAAGATGACATCTTCGGGCCAGTTTCTTTTCTTTCTCTGTTTTTGGCCGCATGCTTTGTTCACTCCCCAGCTTCCACTTCCTCCCCCATTCTTTACTCCTCTCTGTGTTGACTGACGTTTCTGGCTGCGCTGCCATGGACTCCAACCCACCAGCTTCCTACCACAAATTGCAACGAGCGTGAAGCCAAACAGTCGCTTCTGGACACCAACGGAGAGGCACCAACGACGCGCTGTTTTCGCTCCAGGCATCAGAAACAAGTGAAGAAGGGAAATAAACAACTTTCGAGGATCAGCGCTTCCTGACAGCAGCGCTGTTAGGAGTTTTGTTTAGGTGAGTCCAGGCGGTAATTCACTGAACTTTGTTTTCAAAGGCTTGACTGAACCGCGCAAAATCCGGAAAACCAGATGCTTAATCCGGACAAAACTATGAGCAATCTATAAAAACTGTAATAGAGGACAATGAAAGCGAACAATGTCGGTCTTTTTTCTTTATTTCTCTCCGTCTCCCATGTGTGATCCATCAACAGAGCGGAACAAGTTAGTGAAATACAGAGAAAGTCAGTTTGAAAAAAAAAAGAGCCAAATATGTAGTCCATATTTGTTTACAAACATTATTTAATGAAAGGATCTGACAATTATTTGTACTTCTTTTATACTGAGATCAACTTGCAGAACTTAAAGTAATGTAATAATGTTTAATTAAAAAAAAACTTTAAATGTTTTCATAAGTCTTATAATCCAAGTATCTACACAGAGTAGTTGTGGAGGGAGGTGAAAAAAGATCTCCAGTAGCAGTCAGTCTTACAACAAATCTGAAGAAGCTTCTGACTGAAGACACTGTTGCCATATGACTCTCTAATGACATGCAAACAGCTCAATATCCAGGACACAGAAGGACAATATTTGACAATAATGTGTCATGGATGACACCATCTTTTGTTAGCAAGCATTGCTAATCTGCATCATTTGCTTTTGCCATCCCTCCTTAAGTCTTACTTTAGGGTTGAATAGAAAACCAGCCTCCTGTTGTACTCCTCTGGGTTTTGAGGTCATAATTCAGGTATCATATGAGCTTTTGAGATGCTAACACTTACTCCTAGTTGTGAAGAAAACAACAACACTGTATTGGCACAATAACAACAGTCCAGAAGTGAAGAAGTAGCAGCAAACATTGTTACAGAAAACCAGAAAGAGTTATTGTTCATAAAAAGTAATTCCTCCATCACATTATGAACTAGTCCTAGAACTAGTTGCTTCTAGAACTAGTCTCATAAAGCGTTAAAACTGGTAGTTTTGATGGTGTTCTGCTTAGAATATGTTACAAGAATGTGTAGTGCGGTGGCATAAAAACTCTGGAATGTGGTGCTCAGTAGTGAAATGGTGGAACATTGAACACATGTTCAAGGCGCCTGCAACATTTAATAGCACCTCTGCAAAGAAAAACACAAATAAAATCGTAGTTCAGCCAGAGCATAATCTCTCCTACAATAATGATGTTTTTGTTTGTTTCCTTCCTCAACCTTTCCCTAACAGTGAGTGGTGAGAAAAAATTTTGTGCAACCCTCCAGTTGTTTTTACTGACTGTAGATCAGCAAAACGAGCAGCTTTTTTGCAGCCATTTGCATTAGTTTGCAAGGATTTTCTTCTTTTTCTGTTTTGAAGAAGGCAGATGGAAGGTAATCTATAACAGAAAGTTGTAGATTAATTAAAGTGATAAAGTAAAGTATGTTTTCTTTGGCAACAGCAATTTCTTAAAAAAAAAAAAAATCTGAAAGTGGGATTTGCCCATTAAATTGATAAATTCAGACTGAAATGTGGATTATGTTGTAGGATTTAATTTTGTTTACAAAACAGCGCCTTACAGAAAATGAACCTTTATTATCATGTAATTTATTACTGTGTGCTGGGATGAGCTTCAATGTGTCCATTTTACTGTGTCTTACACGTCTAAGTAAAACATGTAGATCATTTTGGTGCGTAGTTCTGGATTTATGATTGATGAGAAAGGGAAATGTCAGATCTTTAAGAAAAGTTGTTTTTTTTATGAAACTTCCAGGAAGAGGTTGGTCTTACGCTTGAGGAATTGAGGTGTGAGGTGAACAACACAACAATGACAAACTGCCACCAGAAGCAAAAAGAAAAACAAGAGCAACCTGTTTTTTTAACTTTTCTGAAGAAGAGTATCATCCATACGATATAAAGCCTTTGGCATGAGTTATATTTTTACAATAGTTGTAAGTATATATTCTTTCTTTTGATACAGATAAAGAGAAACTGATCAAGAGAAAAGTGTGAATGTTGTTTTCCCCTTCCAATCTGAATCACTCTCTGAGTGAAACATTACTTTGTGGTAATTTGAGACACAAACCTTAGACTTTTGAGATAAATTAACTTTAAAAAGAACCAAAGTAAACTTTTCTCTACTCATTTTCACAAATTTTAAAAATCATTTGGTGATTCCTTGATCTGCAGGTCAGAGAGGACAGCCTTGTTTAATGGAGATAACTAGAAAGCAAACATCTGGGGTTCGTCAGTATGAAAACCACAAACAAATTGCATAAATGAGAGACAAATGTTTTGCAATGACTTTATTTTTAGGAAAGCTCTGATTAATTTTAGCGAACAACTCAAAACCACACCTTACGATAGCTCAGTTTAAGTTAACCTGTTCTGTGACAACATCGAGTGGATGTCTTATAGGTGTTATGGTAAATGATTGTTGATGTGTGAAATGTATTGCACTAAGACCCTTTGGATGTTGCAAAACATTAAGCTTTCAAAACTGCAAGATGGGTGTATAACAAGGTTCGATGTTAGGATGACTGCAATTTTCTTTATTAATTAAATTCAAAGAAGCTAGTTAAAGAGGCACTAGAGATGTAAGCATTTTTTATTACTGTCTGATATTATAAAAGAGAAACATTTTCTCTTTTAGATAATTTTGGATTACCAAAGTTATCTAGAATTGATAAAAGCCAGAATAAATAGAAACGGATTTTTTCATCACGTTTTTGAATTTGGAAATGGTAATTGTGTTTGCATAATGTTTCATTAAGTCCAGAGGACCCAAAACGCTTCTCGCTACATTCAGTCATTCACTCATTCACAAACACATTCACAAATTTTTGCATTTTGCTAAGAAACACTATAGTAGCTAAGTCTGATGTAACAGAAAAAAAGATTGGTGTTTTTATGCAGTTTGTTACATTTAAAATTAGCTCAATGTTTAAACTATATCAAACTCTCAGAATGTATTTTGCAATCAAGGTCAGAAAGTATTTTGTTGTAACTGATCAGAGAAAGATATGAAAAGTAGTTGAGATGAAATATTCTAGTATTTAACCTATAGGATCAATACCAAATGAAATTTCCATGTTATGAATCTGTGACTGTTTGCAGATGAGAAACTCACAAAGTTTTAAGGCCTTTAATGGTATCATATTACTGTCGTTTTAGAAAAAAAATATTTTTTATATTTATTTTTTCTCTGGCACTCATGGGAAAGTTCAAAGGGGAAATCTGCTGTTGCTCAAAAAGAACACAATGGCCTGTCTCACATTTGCCAAAAAGTATCTGTGTGGTCCTCAAGAGTTGAAAGAAAATATTCTGTGGATTGACAAGACAAAGTCGAAACTTTTTTGCTGGTAGGTTTTCCCCTACCTCTGGTGCAAAACTGGCATATTGTCTCAGAAAAAGAACATTACATCTACAGGTAAGCATATCTGGGGCTGTTTTGTTGCTACAGGTCCTGGATGACTTGCTGTGATTGATAGACTAATTAAGTCTATTTTCTAAAAGGCAATCCTGGTCCAAAGCACATCAGCGAGTCAATGTCAAAACTACACAAAATGAAAACAAAACACAGGTTTTAGAGTGCCCTTGCAAACTGCAGTCAAATCAGATTGAAGTGCTTTTGTCTGACCTCAAAAATGTAGTTCATGTAGGAAAAGCTACTCGTAAAACTGAATTCAAGCCAGTAATTCTTAGAATTATAAAATAGTTGTTGGCAGTTCCTGCTGACTCCTGATAAAAAGTGGCTAAGCCAGTCATTGGGCTTAAGAAGTGTTTCCTGTTTATTAAAAGCCCAGGTTTCTACGGATTACGAGAGCTGAGAGTTTTCGCATATAGCCTTCCCCATGGTATTTCGAGAAAACAAGTTAATATAGACAAAACTGGCATTTGAAGAATGGAATCAAACAAAATTAGATTTCCTGTAATCTTGAGAAGACAAACTTTTTCTTGAGGTTAATTAGTTTTCTCAAGAAACCATCAGGAAATTTACTCTTCATCTCAAGAAAATCATTGGAAATAAGTATATGCAGGCAAACCTCTTGGCTTCTGTAGTGGATAGCTTTTTCCATTACTGGACGTAATTTGACTTTTCGGCTGATCACATTAAGACATGTTTAAAGATATAAGGAAATTCATTTGTTTGTGCTGCATCTATTTTCAGAACAAGCATGAGCAGCAATAACTTCTTGTCTGTTGCTATCTAGGATTTTGGTTCTAGATGTGGAAAGATTAGTGATTTAGGTTTTTTAATTCTCATTCCTTAACATAAGTGGAGATCATGACAGATTATAAAGTTTTAAAGCATCGTAAGTTTTTGCATGTTCTCCACATGCATGCGGGGTTTCTGTCTGGTACTCTGACTTCCTGGGCCACAGTCTAAAAATATGGTTATAAATGAGTACTCTAAGCTGCCTTTAGATTTGTGCATGTTCGTGTGCATTCACTCTGTATGTCTTTGTGTTGCCCTGCCCAGAGTGTCCCACTCCTTTGACCCAATGACAGCTGAAGCTCAGCACAGACAACCCATTGACTCTGCATAGAAAAGCAGCTGTAGACGATGGATGTTTGTTGTAACATGTTCTTGCAACGAAAACCCTGATATCTCTATGTTTTCTTCTCTTTTTAGGTTTTGTCAGCTACTGTGTTTAACATGCCTAACATGGAGCTGGACATCAGGAACTCTAGTTCACACAACCAGTCAGAGGTTTTCACATCAGTCTTTAATGCCAGCTGCCGTTTTAATGAGGAGTTTAAATACATCCTGCTTCCTGTATCCTATGGCCTGGTTTTTGTTGTTGGGTTCGTTCTCAACGCCATGGCATTGTGGATGTTCATAAAGATGCGTCCGTGGAACCCGAGTACCGTGTACATGTTCCACCTTGCCCTGTCTGACTTTTTGTATGTCCTTTCGCTGCCCACTCTCATCTACTACTACGCCAACCGCAGCGACTGGCCCTTCGGAGTGGCTGCCTGCAAAATAGTCCGCTTCCTCTTTTACGCCAATCTCTACTGCAGCATCCTCTTCCTCACCTGCATCAGTGTGCATCGGTATCTTGGCATCTGCCACCCCATCAAAGTGCTGACTAAGGTAAAGTCCCGTCATGCTCACCTGGTGTGTGGCTCGGTGTGGTGTGTCGTGACGGTGTGCCTGGTGCCCAACCTCATATTCGTCACCACCTCCAGGAGGGACAATGACACGCTGTGCCATGACACAACCAATCAGGAAGCTTTCGAAAAGTACGTTGACTATAGTTCTGTCGTCATGGTGCTGCTGTTTGGCGTCCCCTTTATAGTCATTTTGGTGTGTTACTGTCTAATGGCGCGGACCCTGTGTCAGCCCAGACGAGGATTATCTTCCAGCCAGCAGACCTCCAGGTCGCGGCAGAAGTCCATCAAGCTCATCATCGTGGTGTTGGTGGTGTTTGCTGTCAGCTTCGTCCCATTTCACATCACACGGACTCTCTACTACACGTCCCGTGTGTTGAATCTCAACTGTGAGTTCCTCAACATCGTGAACTTCACCTACAAAATCACCAGGCCGCTGGCAAGCATCAACAGCTGCATCGATCCGATCCTGTACTTCCTGGCTGGAGATCACTACCGCTCCAAACTGATTTTCATTCTTAAAGGAGGAAGAAACCTGAAATACAATCAAAGTATACCGAACAGCAGTTTGGGTCTGGTGTGTAAGGCCTCGGCTCCTAAAGCCAGTGGAGAGGCTGAGAGATAGTGAAGAATACAAAGTAATAGCTATGTGTAATGTATTTCTAATTGTCTACTTCTCCTGAAAGATTGTACAATAACTATTTTGTCATAGATTTTACTTTCTTTAAGTATGTTTTTATTTACTGATTCATGTGAAAATATTTTTAACATGTTCAAAGTCTTTCTCAGTTCTTACTGTAGCAATACATCTATGCACAAACTCAAGTTTAAGGGTCATTTTTATCAAATACATGGTTCCTTTTTTCTGTGTACGATTTGCCACCACAGCAGTATTGAGATATAGAGACACAGATTTGAGGAACACTTTGGTTACACAACAAATAGATTCCTGACTTTACTAAGACTGGCACTAAAGACTTGAAACTTGGCTTGAACTCAAGATCTGGTGTTCAAATCCCGCTCACATCTTTCTCCAGTTGGCGAAATCAGTGGTGAAACTCTGAAAGTGTAGTTCATTGGTAACATTGTTCCTTCGAGTGTTGCACTGTATACACCACTGGTTGTCAAGGTAATGCTATGCACAGTACTTTCCAGGAAAACGAGTTAATGGCAGCTTACAAATTCATCTGCTTTTGTTTAGTGAGAGAAAGAAAACCGTCAGGGCTCGATGTAATGCACGAAATGCAGTTAGGCTCAAAATTATTCATACCCACCATTGTCCTGTTGAGTAATGTCTGTCTAATTCCATATCAGAATCAAACTTAAATAATCAAAATTATTTTAAAATCCAAATAATTTTGAGCTCAACTGTATTAAAGGAGTGGACAGTTGGAGCACAGCGTATAACCAGTAGGTCGTGGTAAAAATATAAATATATAATAAATATTATATTTATTCTGGAATTTGACAATAGGTAGGGTTTACCTATTTCTGTTTTTGAATGTAAAGCTAAATAAGTAAAGGCTTATGAAGGAATTCAGTAATTTCATTTAGATGTACGAGAGAAGAAATACATCTAATAATTGAAGGATAGTGGCTCTTCGGGATGGAAAACTCGTTTATCAAACTAAAAGCACCAGGACTAAAATGATTGGTGAAAATATTTGAGGGAGACGAAACAGTCATGTCCCACTTTATCCGTTCAGAACAGAGGTTAAAAAAATATACTATGAAATATAATCTTCTCAATGTGTAGAAGTAAAAGAAAGATTAATAATCATTCAGTATTACCTTGCACTGTTGAATCAATGGTTGATGCTTAAATATATTTTTTTTAATTAATGCATTTTTATGTCATGAGAAGTGAAGCTAGAAATGCAATCCACACATCATCGTCGATTACATATACAGTAGGATGCAATAAACTAAAATTTGAATTACTAACATGTACTTAGATGCTATATAAAAACATACATATATTTTACACGTTGAATTGAATGCTCTGTTGTTAAATGTTTATTTCTAAACGTTTTGTGAATAATAAATGTTTAATGTAAGAGTGTTCATTTCTGTCAATATTCCAATTCAATTCACAAATATTTTATCTGTACCAAAGTGAATTTAAAAGTGGTTGCAACTGATATCAACCAAGTATCTTTAACGAGTTGTCCTGGATGTTGATGCTTTGGATTGGAAGAATTTCCAGTCGTGGTCAGTGTTGCAACAAATCTTAAAAAGGCCTCTGATTGAAGACTGACTGCTATTTGAGATTAAAAGACTAATTTCTGCTTTTAGAGTATGTAAATAGGTTTGGTGCTATCAGTGCACAGTCAAATTAACAATATTTACAATAATGTCCAGGGTAACTTTTAAGAAAATGATGTCTGACTGATTCAAAAATGTTCATTAAATAGAGTTCTACTGCAAACTTTTCTTATGGTATATGTCATTTAAACATGCTAGTAAAATCAGGAATGATATCTGGGTGTTGTCTAGCAGATGACATGCCAGTGACACAATCTTCCCCAGTCTATATGCAGAGTTTGCATGTTGCTCTGAAACAACAGCTGCAACAAGTCCTGTGCCGGATTCTAACACAGCTGTTTTTGTCCTACATTCACAACCGACTTCCCCCCCCCCCCTTTACTTTCAGGGTTAAGAGTCAACCCTGAAAAACTCTGGCTTTCAGAAATCGCCCACACCTCGGCATGGGGGAGAGTTGGCTTTCCTTCCTTCTCTTTACCTCTGGGAATGATGAAAGGAATTTCAAGGTCTTTTAACTCTGGGATAGTTTCACTAAAGCAGATTTCATGACTTTGGAAACTCACTGCTACAAATAACTCCATTTGCATGTATAAAGCTGTCTGCCCCACTGTATTTCTATGATATGAACAGTTATGTGGTAATTACAGTTTGATATAACTTGTAAAGCTTTACAATCTGATGGTTGGATGGTCAAAAACTGAATAAATCTGAAACCGAAAGAAAATGCAGCTAAAATCAAAATGTTGTGTCTATGTCAGGTCTGCAAAGTGACTTTTTAGGAGAAAGTGAAACTGAAACAATTCAATAGAAGTAGACACAACACAAATTTTGTTTGGAATATGAGAGCTGATTGTGTACGACCAAGCATGACGGTGCATGTTTGACTTTTAATCAGCCAGAAACTATGCAGACAGAGTTAACACATTTGTATAACTTTAAACCTGAAACGTTTTAAAGAAGAAATCTAAATAAAAAGCACAGACCTTTTTCATAACAAAATTTATGATGCAAGACAATTAATGTTCTTTTTCCTTCTCACTTTCATGTCATTTATTAATGCTTAGTCCAAAAAAAGCTGGGAAGGCTGAAGCTAAGTCTAGATAAGGATGTTAGAAGAGATTACGCTTAAAACAGAACATCGAGGTATTTACATTCCTCCACCACCAGGGGAAATAAAATTTCATCTGACCCTGTTTCTTTGTATAATAATCACCTTGTTTTATTCACATTCAAAATGAGATGATTGTTTCCACATGCCATCCACCAACTCTCTGAGCTCAGCTTCTTGGCCGTTTCCGACTCACCTGCCAACTGCAGAGTCATTTGAGTTTTTCTTGCAGATGACAGGACTTTGTTTTGACATGAAAATCAAAAGAAATGGTGAGAGTACAGTCCCCTGTGGTGCTCCTGGGCTGCTGACTGTATGATTCTTCAGTCTCACCATCTGGTCTGTTTGTCAGGTAGTCATTGATTCCGACGATTGTTATGGCCTCCACCTGTGTCTGTTGGAGTTTCTGACAAAGCAAATTGGGCTGAATTGTGTTAATGCAATGGAAAAATCAAAGAGAACAGCCCTCACAGTCCTTTCTGCTTAGAGGCCAGTGGATATGTTGAAGCAACTCCAAGTAGGCAAAAAGCAAACTGCAACGGGTCTTGTTATGTGTTTGTTTACTTACTAGGATGGGCCAAAAGGAGTCCCACCAAACCTTCATGATGTGGGATGTCAAATCAACAAGTCTATAGTTGTTAATAAGTTTTCTTTGGAATCGGAACCAGACAGGATGCCTTACACAACATCTTGGCTAACGCTCTGATTGAAGCGGTGTTGCAGAATCCCATAGCTGCTCTGCACAGGGCTTATGGCCTCTGTGGCTGACGCCATCTGGACCTGCAGCCTTCTTCCGGTTCAGCCTATCCAGCTGTTTCCTGAGACAAATAATGAGACAAGGAAGCAGCAGCAGCTCCTGAATTAGTTGAAACCAAACGTAGAAGCAGAAGAGTCCATGACTGAGGTATAAGATAAAACTGAGGTGTGACAGGAAAGCTGTGGGTCACAAGTTGAACATCCGTTTGGCTGGAGGCAGGAGAAGAAGAGGCAGAGCTTATTTCTGAACTATTGATGAATGAGCTCCATTCATTGGCTCTGTCCAGACTTCCATCTGTTCAATCCTCCCTGTGCTTGAAGCCTGTGATCTCCTTCATCTCCTACCACACATCTTTGATAATGTTCCTCTGTAGTTTGCTCTCCAGACTCTTCTGGAACTCCTCTTCACCATCTATTCACTTTGAACTCCTTCTATTTACTCCTCAGTAATACCCTGTTTCCCTCCCTTGTTCACACTTCCTTCATTGGTAATCCAGCATTTTTTAAATAATTTCTTTTTATAATAAGTATGATTATTGTCCAAAACATTAATTTTGGAATTGTGGCATAAGAATTTAGTTTACAGGCAATGCCATTATCTTCCATATTTTTTTAGAAAGATTGTATACAATACAATTACTATCAAAAATGCATAAACAAAATATTTGTCTATTGTGTGCACATATGCAAACCAGGTTATTGCAGTGTTTTTTGCCTATATGTTTTATATTTCCTCTCTGAGATATTTGTATTTGTCTACACATCAGTTGAATTTAAGAAGGTGGGAAACTTTTGGTGTTGATCTATGCACAGTTGATCAACACCAACTGTTTTCTTAAATCAAGATAAGAAGATATGTAAGAAGGGGAGAGCTGCCTAATGATGTAAAAGTGAAGGTAAATGTGGAGATTTATCCTTTTTTTTTTAAAGGTGGCACTTGTAATATACCCCTTTGTTTTTGTTTTGTTGGAATCCAACATGTGTCCTGCAGTTGTGCTGTTTTTCTGCAGGAATGGCAGAAAAACCTTTTTTTTCCCCAGTTTTTATGTTTTAAACTGTTTTTCCACAGGTAGAAGAATATCAAACACTTTTGTGAAAAAGATTTTCACAATCTTTGTTTAGATTGTGAAAAGTCCTTTCACAATCTAAAACATGAATCTCAGATAGGAACTCTATACTCTTCATACACCTCTTGCCTGATGACTGCAGGAATATTCTCAAGCTTCCATCTCTGTACAAGTAAAACACATTACGGAGGAAGAAAATGTATGATTATTTCAGAAATAAATTTGTTGTTCTGGCCCAATTAAGTTATTAAGCAAACTGCCTGTCAGTTCATTAACCATGAACTAGTATCATGTATGTTTTTACACATTTTTGTGCCTTTTCTATAAATCCACTCTGAATCTTGATTGGGGCAAGTCAGTAGTTTTGCAATGTTGTAATTACTATTCTAGTTATATTATTGATCCCCACTATTTATCAAACATTTACAAATAAAACAGCTGAAACCTGAACTAATTTTATTACGAAGCTGGAAAGCCTCGTAATAAAGGCTCATCAGCGCCTCCTGCTGGTTTAATTTAGACGGTTTAATTTAAAAGCGCAACTCCATCAAACGGACATTCACATTGATGCTTTATTTTAAAATTCACTTTTTTGTTTACATTTAGTAATTGTTTTCCCCTCTGGAGATTTAATCCAGATTTAAATCGAATCTGTTTTGAATCTGTAATATATAAAAAAATACAAATAAAATGATTCTCCACCAGATTTGTTCATAGATTTTTAAAAAATGCAATTTCTTGTTTTCTTCACATAAACTCTTGATCGTAACATGTTTAAATAAAATGCATGACTATCTGAACGAAAAGAGTGGTCAACATTTGTCCGTAATTTTTTAAAAAACGTACACTCTAAGCAGTTATTGATTTAAATAATTTCAAATACTCAATCAGCAGAAAACCAGGATGATGACGGCATTTCATTCAAAACTACGGTGCGTGATGATTTTGATAATCAGCGCGTTATCGCATAAAAAGAAAAAATAAATATAAACAATTTTAAATGCCAAAATCATTGATATGTACTATGGGTCTGGGCGTTTGTTAAATAAAAGTGAGCAGTAAATACTGGAAGTTTATTTATCTTTATGTTACTCATTGTACTAATTAATTTGTAAATTTAATTACCAATTTTTAAGAATTACTAAAAGTTGAATGTCATTCATAGACAACTAGGATGAGTTTATGCCGAGTGGAAATGAATTTTTCTATCATAAAATAAGAGAGAGAAAAAAAATCACTAACACATAAAACTCTTTCAACCCTCGCTAAATTCCCTGTTTGATCGCTTCTTCTTCTTATTTGACCTCATTATTTGGTGGTTTTATTCGCATGTCTGCGCCTCTTGGTTCTCCAAGTTTTCCTCAAGTCTACTTTCTGGTCTCTTTTATTCTCTTTAATCGACCATCACACGGTCAACACCGCTGAATGAAGCACTTGATGTCCTCGCTGCAGAGGATGCCTGCGCGCTCAAGGACACTGTGGCAATCAAAGACCGGATTCAAGACAGGAGAAAACATGTTTTTATTATCCTCATTCAGATTCAGACATAGAGGGGAAAAAAATAACCTTTGCACCTCTATTCATCTCCAACCCAGCATTATGCAGTTAGTCCTATATTTTGACATACTACTCTAAACAAGATTTCAATTATCTCCTCGCAGCAAAGACGAGATACACATATTTTCTGATGACACATTTGAAGAGTTAAATTCGAAAATTAACATATTTCAAGAATATAAATATATATTTAATAAAAATAATATATTGAGCTACAATAGTGCAAGGGGTTAAATATAATTAAATACGTTAAAAATGTATTATTTCGAAATTAACATGAGAAAATATTTCCTATCCTGATTGAATTAACAAGAAACACCGTATTGACTGTAAAGCAGCTGGTTTTGTTGAGCCTTGAACGCCCTCCATGTTTTAATGTTTGTCAAATTATAACCCAGACACGAAGGATCTCAAGGACGCGTGGACTTGAATTTAATCGAAGAGGCTGAGAGTGGGGTGGAAGAGTGACACACGGAGGAGAGAAGTTCATTATTCCACTGAAAAGGAAACCAATGGTTTTCTCGGTCTCCAGGGAAACCGGCCTTTCTTTTGCCGCCAGACCTATGATAAGGTACTTCACAGCCTTAAGCACGATTATTGCAAGGTAAAGAGGGGAAATATTGCCTCCTAATGCTGATAGATGTTGGATATTGATTGTAAGGATGAATTCTAGAGAAGCCTGCCCCCAACAGTTTCACCTTTCAGCATCCTCAGGATGAAAAGTCCAAGGAGATGAGGCTAAAGGTTGGGCCTTTGTTGTTGCTCCTTAATCTCTAGCTGCTGCTGCTGCTGCATCTTCACTTGAGCTGACAGCAAGATGAAGATAAGACTGGAGGTTTTAAATAAAATAAAATAAAATGCAGCAGGAATACATATGTTCACAGGAAGACTCTGAATGGCACAATTAGCCTTCTACAACAGTTCCCATAACGCAAAAGCTAACACCAGCCACTTCCGCCATTAGCATTAGAACGCCATTAGCATCATTAGCATACAAAGGGAAAACCTTCAAAAGTGACATAGCCAGACAAAAGGGATAGTTTTGACATTTTTTAAAAGCAGAAGTTAAGCTAAAATATAACATACCTGCTGTAAAATTGCCATCTTCACTTAGCCTAAATTTAGATAAGTTTTTTTCAATGTCTAACGCTAATGACTAGCTTGATTTGAACCAGCACCAAAGCAGACAAAACTGTGGGGAGTGTGTCTAGCTACATGTTTAGGGAAAACGCCATTTTATTATGAATCTTTAAGCCATACTTACTTTCACTGCAGCTGTTTTTCTGGAAAGAAGCTAATGATTTATTATTGTATGTATTTCCTGGTGTGCAATGCAAACCCAAAGGCCAAACAATTTTATTTACTGGTGCATCTCAAATTCAAAAAGTAAAACATAAATGTATGTAGATCATTTACTTCTGTTGATTCTAGTGATTTTGTTACAGCAAATGAAATACTATTCAATTACAGAGAAATTTGGAAGAA